ATAAAAAAATACATGATATTCAATATCTAACACGTTTAGAAAGGGAGCAGCATATTGACTGCAAAAACAACCAGATGGCATAGAAGTTGGAGGCGGCCCTGTAACTGAAGCAACAGGAGCTATGTCCATTTTCACAGGACTCGGATTTGAGGGCAAATTTGTACTTCCAGGACGACTTAAAGTAGCACGGGCCTCCATAAAGTTCTCTGAGATTAAAACAAGAAACTGGGGGTTTTTTGCATTATCAATTGGTGGGTCTGCTACCCGGGGGTTGCGCTTTCCCTGCATTGGAAAAGTGGTCTCTATCATGCCAACTTCTACTGATTTTAAACCATAGGAAATAAAATATCAGTCTGGCAATAATTATGTCACCTCTCTTTTGTATCAGATCAAACATTCTTCTTTGCAGGTTAATTAACATAATTAGACAGTAGTTAAACATATAACCAAAGAAAGTTAATTTTCTTTCAGGATAGTCTAAGCAATTAAGTTTAGAGTTTAGCAGCATAAAGGTGTAAAGCTCAAATAGAGCACTAAGGAAAATAAAGAAAGGATCGTTAAGATGTTGATTTAGCAAAAAACAAAAAATAGTCAAGGGTATAATATATAAGAACAAAAATAAGAAATAGAGTCAAACTATCTGCATACCGCATTATAAATTGCTCTGAGTTTAGGTAGCTGTTTTGGACAAATGACTGACAGCGAAACAGAGCACTGGGTGGAAAAGTAAGGGATCAGTACTGATGATGTTCAACCTCGAGAAAAAGGAACAGCCACCATTAAACTAAACAAAAAACTACCTGTGGAAATGATTTAGCAACAGCCTCAGCATCATAAAGACGGTTTTCTGTTTGTGCATCAATACTTTCATTCTGCTCCAAATTTTGCATTTGTGGTCGATACACTGGTGTGGGCAAGGGGTGAGGGTTACTAGCAGCAATAAGTATGCAATGCTTCTGACAATCCACATTTTGTTGATTTTGGTTTCCATTTTGAACAGTAGGGAACATCTGAGTTACACAGCAGAAGAATAGTAAATGTTTAGCTTAAAATGTAACCTTAAGAACTGCAGTCAATAATGATCCAAAAGGCTTACGATCTTTTAACTTAAAAAATCTGTGGAAAATCAGAAGTAGATCCACAGCAGCTGTAAGTTATAATTTGTAATTTAATCTAACTCACTTCTCCACATTCTTTCCATAAACCAAATTGTAGGTTCTTTGTGGTCAAGAACCAATCCTTAGCAGTAAGACATGTTTTCATTTCCTCCCCTAGAACTAATAGTCACCAGTATAGATGGAAGCCATTGTGATATAAATTTTGACTTTTTTTTTTTTTTTTTTTTTTTTTATTTATTTAAAAAAAAAAATTATATGTATGGATAAGCAAAATACTTGGACTGACTGAAACAACATACCATTAGAGCTTCAGAAAGCCCTTCCGCAATTGCAGCATCACTAAAACCACCCCCAGAAAAGGGTATAGCTGAAAGCCACTGTAAGAATAGATCTAAATCCCTTGTCCAGCCACTCCGTTGTACCAGGCAACCTGCATAAAAGGTTGTACAAGTATAAAAAGATATTGAGCTAAAGCCAGTTACAGTAAAGACAAGGAAATTCCTGCACATTATCTAGATGAAATGGAAGCTTCATAGCATCGAAGGCATGTTACTCTTATATAAGTGATACTTCGATTTTCTAAGGGGAACTGGAAAATGTACTTTTTGAAGTCGTGTAGTTCATTGTGTTTCAACATAAAGTTCACAAAAGTAGACAAGGCACTCAATTCAAACAAGTTGATGTCTTCCAGGCAGTATTATGCACAAAGAAAAACTACATTGGTATGATTTTATTCTTTAACCCAAATCCACTGAGAACCCACCACTGCAAAGGGATCATTCCATTAAACATGATGTGAAAATCACCAAGCAATAAAGTAACAAGAGAGGTCATATATTGGATAACAAGGATTAAGACGAATGAAAACTACATACCACAATACGATCCATGAGTATAGAAGGTGACCAGGGAGAGCTCAACAGTAGAAGTAGAGGGCTTCTGTATCTCAAAAGCAAAATATCTCGTAAATAAGAAAAAGGCTAGCAAGCTAGAACTAAATCTTACAGAGGGAATTCATAATGCCAGCTGAAAGTGAAATGTTAGATTATAGATGTCTATGGTTTGATAAATAATTAATAAATAAGGCATGATGACCAGAATGTGAGAAAAGTTAATACAACATTACAAAAAATTGAATCCTGCAAAGGAAACTGGACAACACTAAAATGCATTATCTGGAATGCCAAACATTATATGGGCACATGTTCAGAAAATAGCTTTTGCATGAACAATTAGCAGTTCTTGACAAATGCCTTTCTGATGCAGAATCATAAACATAGACAATAATAAATTTATTGAAAAAAGGCGCATACCTGCCCACTCAACTCGTTTCCACAAAAACACCTGCATGAAAAAACTAAATCAGAACTGGCATATAGATACAGAAATGCACAAAATGCCATTCAAGTTAATGATCCAACATGTAACGAGAAAAGGCAATGACATATTGAAAGTTCATATATGGCTCTATGCACAGGAATATAATTAATGAACCTAGTTAATCTTCCTAATATGAACTGTAATTGAAGCTGTTAAAGCTGGGCACTTGTTAACTTTTAGAGTTCTCATGGACAACTTCATAAGTTTTCCATGTGCAAGAAAATGAAACTGTAAGCGGCAAGGCATGATAAAATTTCATCATTTATGCAACCCTCTAGGGAAAGCTATGACAAAACACAAATGAAGAAAAATAGAAGAATGAGTTAGAACTTAAATAGCGGACCTCACAATCTTCTCTAAATAATCTACAACAATGAGTTCCCAAAAGAGACCCATGGCTGCAGTCCCTTCAACAGCGATGATCAGTTGTTTCTCAGCCATTAGGGTTTTCTCTGTGACAGAAATGGGAATCCTCTTTTAAAGATCACACTGGCAACCTCGGGGATATCGATTAGTCTCGCTAACAAGCACATATGCACTTATTTTCTCTAATTATTGACACGTCTGTGTGGAACTCTGTAAAAGACAAACTAACTATCCACCATTGACCACATGTAACCTATAATAGTTATTAATTAATAATAATAACTGTAAAAATCATATCAACTAGAGCATAACACCCCGCTTCAAGATGTCTGAGGATTTATCCTCTCTCTTTTATTTCACCACCGGAGAAAACCCAGAACGTTTGAATTTATTTGCTCAAACACGATATTATTAAGTTCAGAAATGAATCAAATGCGAAAAGTAAGCCAACCAGTTATTCAATGTAAAAACCTAAAATGTAAAATGAGAGGTTTATAGCCTATGCTATAGCCAATAGGTATGCTATATATTCCTAAAGCATAAATTTCTATAATAACCAAGACTCAACTCATTAAACCTCTTGTATTGTGCATAATTTTGATGGAAGTTCATCATGATATAAGGAAAATATCTATTTGATATTATAGGACTTATTTTCCACCACATGCCAATAAGCAACAGTTCAACATTTGCAGATCATCACCGCTGACAACTTCTAACTAGTTAATTATATATATAATTCAGTTTCCATCAGTTGTACGAAATCAAACCTTGTACATTGTAGAAATATAGCAAGGCTGCATATGGTTTCAACAGTATAAGGGTTTAGAAATTGGACATTTTGAGGTTCACTGATCCATTTTTCTGAGGTACTTCTATAGCCGGCCAAAGAATTCAAAATTAAACCAAAACTCTATGATTCGAGTTACCCAAAAACTACTCCACGTAACCAATATCAGATTGAAATGCAGCGTCTTCAAGCACAAAAGTAAAATTGCAATTTAAGTTCAATTCCGAGCCACCAAACCCAGCCGGAAACAAACTAATACATCACATAAAAGAGCCATAAACATTTCTCCTCCAATAAAAAGAAACGAAAAGGTAAAATCTTGTACTTAGGGTGGCAGTCGCAAAAGTTAAAAATTTATTCCCGCTTTCCCACAACTTCTCAGCAACCAAACAAACCAAAAATTGATAAGCAAACAAACCAAAACCCTAACATCACTAAAAAATCAAAATCAAAATCAAAATCAACAAAAGAATACACCGAGTATGAGAAGTTCCTACCTGATTATCTTATCAAGGTAATCAGATATAACGGTTGACCAGTAGGGCCCCATGGCCGCGGTGCCTTCAACGGCGACGATCAGCTGCTTCTCCGCCATCCTAAGGCCAGAAACGACCGTTAACTAACACTAAGAAATTTCAACTGCCTTGCGAGAGGTTGTCCGTCAATGTGAGAAAGTTGAAAGCTTGAAATGGGATCAGTGCAGGAAACGCAGCGTCTGGTTGAAGACGGCAGGCACCAGTATTTAAACGAGAGCCAAAACCCCGCTACTACAACTACGACTGGTTTTCGGGTTCCTCTGGTGACGCAAAATTAGAGGGCGGGCGCATCGGTTTTTTCGTTGGAAGGTGGAAACCTCCGGAAACGGTAAGTTTTGCTGGACAAAACACATACAAATCCTTTCCTTTTGTATTTCTTCGTATTATGCCAATCAAATTTCATTTATTGAATCTATATATAAAGCAAAATGCGGAGAATGTTACAAACGATAGAGAATAGTGAAACATTGTGCATTTGGTTAATGCAAATCTATATGTATAAAACGAAAGGAAGGGAATTGTGAAATATTCAAAATACCAGAAAATGTTAGTGATTAATTCAAACATTAAGAATTAAAATTATTAATTAAATGAGGATAATATGGTAAATTCAAACAAATTCATATTTTTTTAAAAATTAAAATTAAAAACAAAATCAGATAATATGTCATACTTTTATGAAACATAACTACTCATGTTATCTTTTCTTAATTCTAAAAATTAAAAATAAAATCAATTGGCACATGCGTGAGCATGTGCAAAGGGGCTAGTATTAAGAATTGAAATTAGGGAGATTCTATATGAACCCCATTATTTGCTCTTTACACCCCATAGTCTTTTTACACCCCACTGAATTTTAAAAAAATTTCAAATTACTCACTATACCTCATTTTTCTTCCTAAATTGCCCTCATGAACCTCATTCCCTAACTTACTGTGTAAACCCCATCCCATATCATACAACACCAATCGAAAACCCCCTTCCCTTTCAAACACACTCCATCTGATATCAAACCCCACCCCATTCCATATCAAGCCCTACCACATCGAAAATTATCTCCTATTGCAGACACACCTCATCAAATTTACAACAACCTCCACTGCACACCTCATCTCCTTTGAAACAGAGCCATCGCACAACCCATCTTTGCAATCCCCATCGCACAACCCATCTCTGCAAATCCAAACCCATCGCACAACCCATCTCTGAAACAGAGCCATCACACCCCATAGCCAACCCAAAACGCCTCATCCCGTCGCAAACCACCATCACCTCAACCATCACCAATCTGTCAAGTTTTCACAAATCCTTCGAAGAGCCAAGGTTTGATTTCAATTTTAATTTATATATTTATGTGTCTAAGTGTTGATTAAGTCTAGGTTTGATTTCACTTTTGAAAAGCCAAAGTCTGATCTTGATTTCAACTTTGTGGGTGTATGATTCGAACTTGGTTTTACAAAACTGGATTTTCATTTCGGTGAATTACCACCAAAATGATTACATTGCTTCAATGGCAATCCATAGAATTTGAACTTGAAATTAATTTTACTTTCGGTGGGTTACCACCGAAATCTTTACCTGGTTTCGATGGTAGTCCACCAAATTTGTTTCAATTTTTCAGGAGACGCCCACCTAATGTATTCCCGTTTTTTAGTGGTACTCCACCGAATATGTTTTCTTATTTCAGTGATAGTCCACCGAATTTATTTCTGTTTTTCAGTGATCATCTACCGAATACGTTACTGAGTGTGTACTTAATATTGTTTGTTTTTATATATGAAGAAGACTTGCAGAGGTACTACTGACGCTTCATTATCTCAACCTAATAGACAGCGTTCCATGACCTTAACAATGAGACAGATAAAGGCTTCCCAAGATCACTTTGAGAATACTACAGAGGTTGAAGATGTAGCTCCTACTCATGATAGTAATGTTGACGCAGAGGTTGAAAATGCAGTTTCTACTCATGATAGTAATGTTGAGGTACATGCCGAGCCTACTGAGCCATCTCGAGTAGGTCCCATTGATCCATCTTTACTTACGAGTTTTAAAACTCACATAGCAGCTGCAATTTGGAATAACCAGGTAAGTCGTTTTACTGTGACAATAGAATGTAGAATATAAGTCTGGTTCATGGTAACTTTTTTTTTTTTTTTTTTTTTTTTTTTTTTTTTTAGGAACGTGAGCCCCTTAAGTGCATGTTGAAGACATCTACCCTTTGTGAATGGAATTGGTGGGGTAATCCAAATAATGGTATATTTAAAAGGTAAATTCAGATGTCTGGATTAGAGCAACTTATTATGTGTTCTTATCGAAATGCTGATAAGATTGTGGTATCTACATTACTTGAGAGGTGGCATCCCAAAACGAATACCTTTCACATGCCTTTTGGTGAGATGACCATCACATTGGATGATGTGTCATCTATTTTAGGCATTCTTGTGTCTAGTGTAGCTGTTGCTCCGCTTGAAAATGATAATGACACAAATTTTGAGTTGTTAGTTAAGTACTTATGAGTGACTAATGAAGAGGCTACTGAACAATTGCACCAGTATAGTGATGAGTATGTGAGTTTGTCATGGTTACTAGCGCGATTCTCCAATGCTTCACACACAGATTCAGAGGAGTGCATCATGTATTTGGCCAGAGTATATTTGTTATATCTCTTGTGTTGCACTTTGTTTGTTGACAAGACTGGCACGAGAGTCCAAATTGTGTACCTTAGACTACTTAGAAACCTTGATAGTGTTGCTGGTTATTCATGGGGTTCTGGGTGCTTAACATAGTTGTATAGACAATTAGGCAAAGCTTCGAGGTCTAAGGTGAAGCAGATTGCTGGGTATATGACTTTGCTGGAGGCATGGGTGTAAGAGCACATGTATGGTGTTGTCCCTGATCATGACCTTGATTATTTAGAGGTCCAGCCTCGTGCACTTCGTTGGATTCCACATCGAGACAATGGCACAACATTGATAAATGTGCAGAAGTAAGACATCAGCTTGATGCTTTGAATGTTGATCAGGTGTGTTTCTCTTACATATCATCCAACTTTGTTATGTTTTGTATTATATATATATATATATATATATTGGTTTAGTAATGTATATTATAGTAGTTCATGCTATATTGTGTATCATATTTCAGGTTATATGGGAACCTTACAATTTTGAAAGGGAACACCGCCTATTTGCAGATGTTGCATTCTACTCAGGGATGCTCAGATGTTGTGATGTTATTGAGCCCTACCATCCTGAGCAGGTTCTTAGGTAGTTTGGTCGAGTGCAGACGATTCCTCCCAAAATAAGTGCCTTAACCATAAAGTTGACTAAAATACTTACCTATTTGAGGTTGTCGATCCAAGATGCATACAAGTATCTGTCCATGTGGCCACAAACCTATCCTTAAATGGATTTAACCAATTGTCATGTATGTATTCAAGAGCTTTTTGAAATTCACTGAACTTAGACTCAATCTGTCACAAACAACGCCAATATTCAAGAGCTTTCAATCCTCATTAAATTGCTTCTATTGTTTGATGGTCCCAAATAACTTCTTACAGTTTGCCAACACTCCTTTGTTAATATGTTATCTACATAATAAATGTCGTACTTTCGGAAATATAGACGTAATAGAATTCATGAGTGCTAACTCTTGATTGGTGACAATAACACCAGGAAGACAATTATCATCCAACAAACTCATCAATGCAATCAATGCCCATGTGTAATTGTCTTTCTTCTCGACATTCATATACACATACGCAACAGAGAATGACATATTAGTATATGTCACTCCCACAATTTGCAATAGTGCGAAACGATATCTATTAGTCTTATAGGTGCAATCGTGATAAGTACATGTGGAAATACACGCAAAATCTCAATATTAATGGGGTGTGTCCAAAACAGGTCAGTTACAATATCACCAGATGTCCTATGCCACTCAATGTAATTGTGTTCGGATAACTTAGTAAGCAATTACATATTCTGTTCCCACATTGTTGCCTTCAGTAGGGGCGTCACCTTGTTTTTGTTCACTCAATGAGAGTAAGATCAAAATAGCTTGCCTTAAATTTATGGTTGGCAAAACGCATCATACCTCATTCGAAGCCTCTCTAACTTCAATGTCACCCTTCATGAATAAATACAATATATTTTTTCACCAATATAAACGCATAAATCTAGGGTTTAGGGTTTAGGAACATGATGGTTTGAGAAAAAAGTCAAACTAGGGTTGCATGAACATATGTGGGGTGTAGTGAGCAATTTTAATTTTAAATTTAAATTTTTTTGTCCTTAACAGTAATTATGTACAAGGGTAAAATAGGTTATTCATGTTTAAAATTAGTATGGGGTGTAAAGAGCAAATAATGGGGTGCCACTAAAATCTCTCTTGAAATTATTAATTAAATGAGAATGATATGGTAAATTCACACTTTTTCATATTTAACAAAAATTCAAATTAAAAGAAAATTCAAATAATAAATCCTATTTTTATGTAACACAACTACCCATTATTATTTTTAATTCTAAAATAAATTTTAAATGTTTAAAAAAAAGTCTCTCGCAAACGCAGGAGCGCGTGCAATGGGGCTAGTTAAATCTTATGTCAATTGTATTAAAATAATATATATTATGGTTAAAATAATTATTCTCAAATAAGGAGAAAAAAAAATTGTGATTGATAGTTGTTGATAAAAATAAATAAATAAAAAAATGAATATGAGGTGTTAGTTGATGCGGAAAATTACTCCAAATAAAGCAAGAAGTTCATAGAAGGTTAACAATTATGTTTTCTATAAAATGTTTACACCTAGGCCTCGTTTGGTTCATGGGAAAGGAGGCTTGGGAATGAGAATTCAATTGTTTTCCCATGTTTGGTAAGTCTAGGCATAAGAAATGGTTGTCTGACACATGGAAAAGTAGGGCGAAAATGAAGCACTCCTCTTAACTTGGGTTTTGTTTTCCCTCCTCATGGGAAAGTTTGGGAAAATGAGCCAACATTCAATACACAATTTTCATGACTATTTTGTCCCTATGAAAAATTTAGAATTACAACGTATCATTAAATGCATTCTTTTTTTATTTGATTTAATATGGGTATAATTGGGAATTATACAAATTTTGTTTTCCATTCATACTCAAAACAAACATGGGAAATGAAACAAAGTGAAATCTCCCGGTTACTTTCCCAACATTACCAAATGAGGAAAAGGAATCTTTCATTCTCATTCCTTGGCATGGGAAGTGATTTCCCTTCAAATCCATTCCCTGAACCAAACGGGGCCCTATAACACTTGTCAAACGTTGTCCATGAGTTTGGAATTGAGTAGTAGCTACACTTATTGAACATTTTCAATTCCTTTTAATGTAATAAAATAAGAGAATATTATACACACCAAAGACAATTTACAAGAAGTTCACGTGTCATAATTTTCCAATAGTTTTCAATTCCAACTCATGTTATGTATTTGTGGATCACCAGCTTCAATTGGATTCGATTATATTGAATTCACAATTTAATACATATTAAATTTTATGCAAATTTGCTATATTTTCTTAGCTACGATTGAATTCTAATGAACTTGTATTGTATTGGATAATTCGAAATCTAAATATATGGTTGTAAGTAAATTCTATACATTTTCATCCAAACAAGTCGGATTGGATTGTATTGAAAAATACAATTCAAACACATATTCCTATATTTTCAAGGTTAGGAAGCCCCATGGATTAACTAAAGTAAACCCCCCAACCTATAGGGGTTATTATAAACTCATACCCAACCTTTATTAACTCATTTGACCAGTACATGAACTTTGTGAATCCTTTCATAAAACACCCTCCGTCACTCAGTCCGTCAAGAGCCTCGTTAAGTGATGAGTGTAAGTTTTTCCATATATTTTGTGAGTTTTCCTTTTCATTATTATGAGATGTCATATAAATAATAAATAGAGTTATATTTAAATTAAGATATTATGAGACTTTTATTCAGATAATGATTAAATGGAATAACTGTTACAGGAGGTGGATATCATCCATTATCTCCACGTTTTGGCTAGCAATTGTCTCTTAATAGGAGAGTCAGTTGTAAAGCAACTTGGATAAAAGGCTTGGTCTCTGCTCTCATATTTACACGTTCATATTCTATATGCTTGTCCTATTGAAAGCCTTGACATTTGGGAATACTGAGAGGAGAAGATCATCTTGTATATCTGATTATGACTAATTCAAGTAAGTCTTATCTCTACTTGTTCTATTGTTTAATTGTCAAATTTGTATTAAGGTATGGTTTAAGTGCTAAATTGGTTCAAGATTATTTTGAAATACAGTAAAGCTTACAATGAGGTGACACTGTCGACGTGGAGCAATTTATAAGGTCACCATGGCGGCTCAAAGTTAGAGGTTGCCACATCGGATTCACGCCCAAATGAAGCTGAACGCGTTGCCATCCCCCAAGACGATGAAGCCATAATCCCCAAATTAAACCCAAATCGTCGATTCCTCTGCATAGTACATAAGAGAAAACAAAAACAAAAACAAAAACAAAAAAACAAAAAAAAAAACTCCTATTTCCATTGCCAAAAGCCTTCAATTCATGTGGATCGCAGAGGTAAAAGAAATCAAATCTTGAAGGTTTAAGTTGTTGTTGGTGATGACTTGATGTACCAGACCTTGAGGAGAAGTGGACCAGAGTACGGTAAGTTTCGAACGGTGATATTGGATTTGTGGGTTGTATTTGTAAGTTTCAAATGGTGGGGCCTGGTTTTAGGTTGTGTTTGTCGGTGTTGTGCTCTATTGCTTTTGGTTTTTTTCGTTTATGATTTTACCGTTTTAGGTTTTGGTTTGACTGTTTTCTGGTTTTGCCATTTTTTTTATGTTGTTCCCATTAGTTTATGTTTTTCCCTTTTACGATTTGGGTTCCATTTGATACTGAAAGAAGGGTTTTTGCCATTGTGTATAGTGAATGTAGTGACTTCTATGGTCCCAATGAATACTATTGTATATCTGTTGTCTAATTGCATGTGCATTTTGGTATTTTCAGGTGATCCTAATATGTTTACAATGACCATGTATCACAGGGGCAGATTTAGTGACAATTTCTATGTTTGAAGTGATATTGTCTATTTTGATTATGTTGATAAGGACAGATTGTCTATGGTTGAAATAGGTTATATGGTTCAGGAATTGGTTTATTTGGAAGGATTATACTTTATCATTATAAGTTACCTGACATTCAGACTCTCTCACATTGCTACAGTATGCAGGGACAAATGCAGCTAATGGGCTGTATGGGCTATAGCCCATGCCAAAAAAATTTTGACTTTTAAATGTGATGTAGTCTTAGCCCAAAAGAAAAATAATCTATAACTAAATAGAAGGGATATCCCACTTGCATTCACACAGCAAAGAATCAAACTCTAATTAAGTAATAAAAAAAAATTGACAGAAAACATCAGTTCGGGTGAAAACCAAATAGCCGACAAAGCCAGAGGCATCTCACCAGTGATTGGTCCAGCTCCAGTTCAACAAATTAACAAGCCAATTTCTCCTCTTTTTGTCTGTTGAGGTAATTTTCTACAAGCCAATTTCTCATCTTTTTTTTTTGTTGAGGTAATTTTCTTCACTTAGTTCTTATTAGGGAGTTATAATTATATTTTTTTTATAAACAACATTTAGGGTTTTTGAATTTAGGGATTTCTGAATATGCTTACATACATCATTCATGTTATAGGTTATACTTATAATGTCATATCATCATCGAAATCCTAAGAGAGTGAAGAATATTTTGCATTTTTTTAAGAAACAAAATGAAGGATCATCAAGTAGCATGCCCTCTAGCCCTTCTTCATCTTCTCCAATTTGTGGGGAGAAACCTCCTTCTGAATTTCAAAGAGTCGAGTCTCAGAGAGTCCATTGTAATCAACAAGTTGATACCAATTCTCTTGAACGTGATCCGGGATTACGTCGTCAAATATGCACATATTCAATTAATGAACGTGATAACGTTCGAAGAGCATATATTCTCTTAGAACCATATCAACCCACATTAGGAGAATATCCACGCCACTTAGATCGGAATCAAAATCGTAGATTTCAACAATGTTGGTTCAAACAATTCCCTTGGCTTGAGTATTCTGTCCATGAAGATAAAGGGTTTTGTTTTCCATGCTTTGTTTTTGAAACTGATCATTCACACAAGGCATTCACTATAGATGGGTTTAAAAATTGGAAGAGAGTTGGTGGGGGAAAATGTGCTTTCCTTGGTCATGTAGGCAATATAAATTCTCCACATCATCTTGTTATGCAAAAGTGGATACATTTAAGCAACCCTTCTCAATATATTGACAGAGTGGTGCAATCACCACAAGATGTTACAAAAAATCGGTTGAGACTTGCAAGCACAATTGAGTCCATTAGGTATGTAGCAAATCAAGGATTGGCTTTCAGAAGTAATGACGAATCTTGTGAGTCATCAGAAGTAATGATAAAAGACTTTTCAAGAATGAATGTAGAAGTTGAAAAAGTCATCTTAGAGAATGCTCCTGGAAATGCAAAATATATTGCATCAACAATACAAAAGGAGATCCTAAATATTTTTGTTAACAAAGTAAGGAAGAAGATTCGTGAGGAAGTTGGAGATGATAGAAAATTTTGTATTCTTGTTGATGAAGCACTTGATGAATCTAAAAATGAACAAATGACTATTATCCTAAGATTTGTTGGTCATGATGGGTTTATTCAAGAACGGTTTTTTGAGATTATAAGTGTTCATGATACTAATTCCTCAACTCTTAAAACTAAGATTTGTAAAGTGCTTGATAAACACACTCTTTTAGTGAAGAATATGCATGGCCAAGGATATGATAATGCTAGCAATATGCGTGGTCAATGGAATGGCTTACAAGCATTGTTTCTCAATGATTGCCCATATGCATATTATATATATTGCTTTGCTCATCACCTCCAACTAGCATTAAATGTTGCAACTAAAGAGGTAGGAGTTATTTGGAGATTTTTTTCAATGTTGAATAATATTTTGAATTTTGTTGGTGCTTCTGCTAAACGTCATTCTGAGTTGAAATTATTTCGAAAAGCTGAAATTCAAAGGTTGTTAGAGGCTGGAAAACTTGGAATGAGTACAGGGGCTAATCAAATTCGTTGTTTGCAACGACCTGGAACTACTCGTTGGGGTTCTCATTTTAGTTCTATCATAAGTTTCATTGATTTATTTGGTGCAACCAAGACACTTCTTGATGAAATAGGTCGTAATTGACCTACATCACAATTTCATGGGGAAGCTGAGAGCATTTATATTGCCATGATGTCATTTGAATTTGTTTTTTCCTTACTTCTGTTGGAAAAAACTATGGGATTCACATATTTTCTTTGTCAATCACTTCAAAGCAAATCTCAGGACATTGTAAATGCTTTGAATCTTGTTTCAAGTACAAAAATGAAGCTTGATGAGTTGGGAAATGATGGTTGGGATGATTTTATCAAAAGTGTGCTATCATTTTGTGAACAACATGACATTAGTGTACCTGATATAAGTGCTCGTCATAAAATGGGTACATGTCGTTCTTGTCAACAACAGGATTCTATTACAGTTGAACATTATTTCTATATTGATGTATTTAATGATTGTTGAGGCCCAAAAATCCAAGGTTGGGCCCAAATAAATTATCGGCCCAACATAATGCCTTATTAAGAAAAAGACTTGGTTCGGAGCATGCAAAATTCCTCATTCATGCTTACACAAGCCACGACCACATGTCATACCAAATAAATATGCAATCTCTCATGCTAAGAGTTGAAATAAGCACTAACTCTACGAGCTCATGCTAATTACCTCGTCACGCATCATGCCTCTATTCAAGGACGATAAAATTAAAACACGCTGATTGACATGCCATGCTAAGCATGAAATTATTATTTCACATCCAACCACACTACAAGCTTAAGTGGGTCCAAGCCACGCAAATGCCCCGGGCTTGCTTGAGTGGGTTGTGGTATGGATGGTAACAAGCTTTCATGAGGCCCATTGATGAGCCAAGAAATGGAAGTTTTGGGCTGCTTGGGAGCCCCAAAACTCAAGCTCATTTCTTGAGCCCAAACACATGGGCTAACATGAGAGAGAGAACATGACCCAATGCCTTAGAGAATACAGTAGTTTGCTTAGGAAACCCTATGTTAGTTAGAGCATCCAAATACTTTGTTAAAAATGCAACGGGCAAACTGCTTCCAGCAACTTGACGAAAACCTGTCAAACGATAGAAGTAACAAGCTAAAGACCCAACACTGTACATACAAGCCCAACCCAAAGCCTTATGAAAAGCCTGGCGTCGTGCTCAATTCTAATTTGGACTCCAAGACAGTCAAACAATGAGCCATGGCAGGAACCAACAGAAATCCGTGCGTGAAGGACAAGTACCCATCGGACAAAGAACTCCCTCCATCTCTCCTTTCCTTTGCAAGCTCCATCTTGAAAACCCATAAGGAAAGCAGGTGGCGCCTCCCCCCTTATGGGAAGGTCCAACTGCGTCAAACTCTTGGAACCACAAAGGGTTCCTTACCCATGCTCCTTGGATGGGAAAAATTCACCAAAGAAGATAAAGTGGAAATGAACAATGAAAAATTGGAAGAAAAGTTAAGACGAAATTAGGGTTCTTTATGGCTATAAAAGAGAGCCTCAGCTACCCAAAAAACCAACCCATCCAAGGCCTGACCACGCTTTGTCAAGCAAACTGGAAATTTTACTCAAGTCACCCAATTCTCTTCTTCGTTCGTTCTCTTCCCCCCTCAGGAAAGAAATCTATCTAATCTTCCTCTGTTCCACTTTAACCCTTTGTTCACTGTAAGAAACTCACGATTATCTCTCTCTCTTCAGTGCTAAACTCATGATGGTTTTGCTCTCATACCACAAGCTCCTCATGCTAAGCCATTAATCAATCTATCATATTTATTTGGCTATTGGTGAAAAGAACTTGAAGGTATTTTTCTAAGGTTTCATCAAACCTTTCAAAAACTCTTTCAGGAGCTTGGTTTCTAAACTCAGATACTTGGGGAATTTCTGTTCGTTTTCTTCTTACGGCAGCCCAAGCCCATTCGTCAGGCTGTTGGAACAAAAATACCCCTACAATGATGTAATAGATTTTCAGTTGGTAGAGTTAAATACTAGATTTCCAGAGCAAACTGTGGAACTTCTTTATCTTACCTCAACATTGGATCCCCGTGATTCATTTAAACGGTTTAACATTGGTGATATATGCAATCTTGCTGGGAAGTTTTATCCTTAAGATTTTACTACCACTGAGTTGCAGGATTTACATCAACAGTTGGGATTTTATAAGACTGATATGGATCGTCTTCCAACCTTCAAGAATCTTGATTTTATTCCTGAATTACTTAAGTGCTTACTTGAAACAAGGTTAACACACACCTACCACTTGATTGATAGATTGATTCATTTAGTGTTAACTCTTTCGGTTTCTAGAGCAACAACAGAACGTGCATTTTCTTCTATGAGACTTATCAAAAATCGACTTCGGAACAAGATAAAGGATGAGTTTCTTGCTGATTGTATGATACTTCACATTGAAAAAGAATTTGCTGATAGTATCGATAACGAATCAATAATTAATGGTTTCAACTTTTTAAAGCCTAGAAGGGTGCAAATCAAATAGTTGTATTATGTATTTGCATTGCATATTTATTTATTATTGTCTTTTTTTATTAGTTATATCTTATGTACTAGATGCATTATGAAGGTAAGGCTCACTATGTCCCCTTGATTAGATGTATAATTTTTGTTATCAATGAAATTCACTCGTACCGTCGAGTTTGTTTATAAGGGAAATCCAACCCAATGTATTTCGAAATCCTGGATTCGTCCCTGGCAGTATGATGAAGATGTAGTAGATATATGTGCATTAGTTCCAGAATTTAAGGAGATTGAGATATATCTAGAGCATTTAGACTATAACGTTGAAGACTTCCTTAAAGTAAAGAATCCCAATTCAATTCTACAATTGAGAAAAAGTGTAAACTGCTTATTAAGAAAATACATGATGAACATCCCCTGGCAATTATACCAAGTGGAAGCAAAGATGAAGTTGACATTGAGGTCGAGAATGGCTGTGACACTAGGGTTGAGACTGGAAATATGACTCAAAATAAAGAGGCATTGGTAAAGGAGAGGAGAAGAATTGGGAAAGAAAAGGCAGTTGTAACAGAACCATATGATTCCTGTGATGGTTATTCTTCTAACGACTCTAGATTGGTAAATATTGGGTATGTAATGTATAAGAATGATGATATTTACCTAAATACCTTAGTTGGAGATGATTGGCTAGGTAGTATTTCAGTTACAAATACACAAGGCCAGGTTGCACATGAATTTGCAACTAAGGCCATAACTGAAGCTACAAATAGGCCTGAACTACCTGCAAATGGGCTTGAAGAAGATACAAATGGGCCTGGACAAGATGAGCCTGATCAAGGTGCAAATGGTCATCCTCAAGATGGACCTGGGCCTGAGAAAGGTGGAAATATGCTTAAGAATGGTGTCACTGGGTCTGATCAAGGAAGAATTATGTTTTGCTTTTATGTTTTTTTAAATGATTTAAAGAAAGATATTGAAGAAGGTGACCATATGAATGTTGAGTTGTTGGGCTGCATCAAATGGGGAAGAAGGTGGTTCGACTAAGAGGTTCACAAAATACAATCCTGAGACAGACAACCATGATCTATAGTTTGAGTTTGGCATAATGTTTTCTAATTGTCATGTGTTTAGAGAAGCAATTAAAGCACCTTGCTTGAAACATGGGAAAGATATATATTTTAAGAGGAATGAGATATACAAACTGAAGGTTTACTGTAAGAAAGACCCATGCCCATGGCATATATATGTATCTGCTAAGAGTTCTGTGGATAAGACCTTGGTTGTGAAGATTTACAACCCCAACCATAATTGTAGTAGGGTTTGGAAGAATAAACAAGCCATTACCAAATGGATAACTGACACTTTCATTGATAGGGTTCAATCCAATCCTCAAATTCCACCAAAATCACTTCTAAATGTTGATGATAATGAATGGATTGTTGGTGTTTCACACATAAAGCGCTATAGAGCCAAAAGAGCTGCTCTTCAATTGATAGAAAGGATTATGGCTTCAAAATATAGCAGGTTGTGGGACTATTGTGAAGAAGTGAAGAGAACTAATCTGTGAACCACTATGAAAATGAAGTGTAATTTCAATGGCAATGATGCAATATTTCAAAGACTTTATGTTTGTTTAGGAGGGTGTAAAAATGGGTTCAAAGAAGGTTGTAGGCCTATAATTAGGCTAAATGGTTGTCACTTGAAGGGAGTCTATGGGGGACAACTATTGACAGCCATTGGGATAGATGCAAACAATGAGACTTAGGTCATTGCTTATGCAATGGTGGAAATGGAGACAAAGGACTCTTGGGACTTGGTTCCTTGAACTTGCTAGTTGCTGATATTGGAATTGTTAACTCACATAGGTGGTCGTTTATTTATGACAGGAAAAAAGGATTGTCTGGAGCATTTGAAGATGTAGTACCTAATGTTGAGCATCGTTTTTGTGCTAAGCATCTCTTCAGCAAGTACATAAAACTGTACAAGGGCAAGACACTTAAGGACGTGTACTGGGGTTATGCAAGAGCCAATGTAGTTAAGTAATACTGGAGGTACATGAATCATCTAAAGACTCTTCATATTGGGGCCTGGGAGTGGCTAGTGTCTAAGCTTCCACAACAATGGTCTAAATTACACAAGGATTGAAATATCGGCCGATACACCGATATATCGGCCGATATATCGATATTTTGAACTGTCGACACCGATATTGGGGGGTAAGGCCATATCTTCCCCGATATCGACGATATATCCCCGATAAGTGCGATATCCTCGATATTTTGCCGATATCCCGATATTTCCCGATACCCATAACAAAACCCAAAAAAATTCAAAAGTTTTGAAGCAAATTGAAATTGAAAAGATTTTTTGGAGGTATATGTGCAGTGATTAGATATATGTGTGAAGGCTTTTGGCAATATTCAATTCAAAAGATGTTTTGGAGTATGCATGTTTTAGAGTATGCATCAAAAGAATCTAGACCTAGTACTAACTCAAATGAATCTTATGATGGCTATGGTTATGTCATGTCTGATTATAGTGGAACTAGATATGGAGCTCAAGATGATGAAACAGATTATGGACCTACTAGTTGAGTTAATCCTAACTATCCCATATATGGGAGGACAGTAGGGAGCTCAAGAGAGTCATATGTGCACCATGTTCAAACATGGCTTACAAACTACTCGGGTTACATGACTTGGTATGATTATTGTATGAATCTAGATGGTTGTTCCACATTGTTTGAACCTCATAGGAGCTCTTCATTTATGTAGTTGGACACTCATCTAAATTGTAATCCAATGTTCAAATAAACTATGGATTTATGCATGGTTTATTCATTCTAATCAACTTTTTATTTTCAAACTTTTCATTAACGCGTATTACATACCACTTATATTTCATCATATATATATATATATATATATATCTTATTATTAATAAATTTTGAGTTTTATTTGTTCAATACATTCATTGACAATGTACATAACATCTATGAAAGTTTTACACCAAAATTATGTGTTTCAATGCCTATATCTGTCATTTTTGTTGATTTTTTCCCAATACCCAAAACGATAACGATATATCCCTCAAAATATCTGTAAATTGGAGGCCCGATATTATCTGCACGGCCGATATTTTAATCCTTGAAATTACACTTCAACTCAACTGTGAAATGTGATATGCTCATCAACAACCTGCGTGAGTCATTTAATAACATAATTAAACCTGCAAGAGATAAGCCAAACATAACTTTGGTGGAGATGATAAGATGCCTATTAATGAGTAGAATAGCATCTAGAATGTGCAAGATGATAAGTTAGCCTCATGAATTATGCCCTAACATTTTTAACAAACTACAAGCCAAAAAGGTTTTGTTTGACCAATGCACTGTCATGTGGTCAAGAAACTCTAAATATCAAGTGGATGGTGGGAAAAAGGATCAATATGTAATGGACTTAGACAGACACACTTGTTCTTGTAGGGAATGAGACTTGAGTGATATACCATGTGCACATGGTATTGTTGCAGCACATTACAAATAGGGTAAACCAGTTTAGGAGTATGTCAACTCTTGCGTTTAGGCATTGCTATGAGGTACAACCATTGTGGAGAATAAGGTCAAAACAGCAGGACTCATCACAGACATCTGGCTCCAAAGGGAAGACAAAAAGAAAAGTTGCAAAAGGTAAGAAATTTTTTGGAGAATCTCCAAATGTAAGTCTCTAAACCCTAGTATGTTGTTTGATGTATACAATTGTATGGTAAGCATGGTAACTATGCATATACAATTGTTTGATGTATACAGGGATCAAACCCTTCGATTGAACCAATTGCAGTGAGGACAAGAAGCTCACAATCAAAGAATTCAATAGGCACCAATTGCAGTGAGGACAAGAAGCTACAAATCAACCCATAACTTGGGAAAGAAACAGGAAACAATTGTGCAAGGACAAGTGAAATGAAGCCGCACCTTTACTCTCTTTTTTTCTTTTCTTTTTTCTTTTTTTTTTTTGCTTATGTTGAACTGTGCTTGAATTGATATATTTTGAGATGGGAAGAGTTATGTTCAACTATGAATTGGTATATTTTGAGATAGGAAGAATTATGTTCAACTCTGATTTGGTACATTTTGATATGGGATAAGTTATGTTCAACTCTAATTTGGTATATTTTGATATGGGAATGGTTATCCTTTTGAGATGACAACTTATGTATTTTGACACTTCAGTTTGGTTGTATTTACATAGGGGAAGTTATACACTTTTCATATTGGAACTTATGTATTTTGACACTTGCATTTTCACTCTGGTTTTTTTTTAATAGTTTACTAAATGTAAAGGTTTACAACTTCATTTCAACATGAAAGGTTCGCATTTTCAACTTCATTTCACACCCACATTTTCAACTCTACTTCTCTCATTTCAAAATGTGAAGGTTTACAACTTCATTACAGACATGACATAACTTACATTTCATTATAATGTTATCATATAAACACCCTTTGCAAAACAATGACTAAGACAAAGCCTAAAATTCTAATTCTAGCCTAACATTTTTGTTAGGTACATGCTTTCTCAAGCCCCTACCAAACAACACCAACAAAAGCACCAAAATTGTAACCCATGAACCCAGTAGCACTACCCACATAACATTCCCTCTTGTCGCCACTTTTCTTTGCAACTCCTCATGCTTTTTTACCTTTCTCAGCAACCCAGGAATAATAGTCCTAGACCTTTCACACATTCGGGGATCAATCCACTGAAAGAAGTTGCACCATTGTCCTCTCTGTACATTACATCAAGTCAATCACTTTCTAACCCAACTTCACAACAACAAAAAAGAGAAATTCAAAGACACAAAACTCGTATCTCTTACCCCGTGCTTCGCACATCCAAAGAAACGTCTCCTAGGGTTCGCATCAATCCAAGAAGTGAACTCTTGAGCTCGCTTACCACAACAACACTTTGACACCTCCATCTTCGTATCAATTGGAAAAAAAATGGAGGAGATAAAATCAGAGATTTAACGATTTTGGGGCTCATAGGCCTTTTCTTTTGTATGCCCAAGTCTTTTGTCTACAATTTTAAATTGCTCCACGTTATCAAAAATACCTACGTCGACAGCGCTAACTCATCACTTAATGAGGTTCCTGACAAACTAAGTGACAGAGGGTGTTTTATGAAAAGATTCACAAAGTTCATGTAATCATCAAACATGTCAATAAAGGTGTGTATGAGTTTGTAATAACCTCTATAGGTTGGGGGGTTTAGAGCACCTCCACCCCAAAGGGTAAGGCAAGGCAAGGTTTGTCACTATCACATGAATAGTGGCAACCTTTGCCTTTTTTGTTTTCACCCCAAAGGGTAAGGGCAATTACTATTCACTTTAATTTATTTTCTATTTTTTATACTTAAGCCATTAATTTTAGTGTGAGAAGTGAAGAATATGACTAGGTATTTATTTTTTTAAAAAAATTCTAAAATTTTAGGTTTTTTTTTTCTGTTACTGACGTTATCGATGACGTCAACAAACCCATGCAAGATTTGCCTTCGGGCCTGCCCAGGCTTGTGAAGCCCACCAGCTGCCCAGTCTTGCTGTTGCACACTGGAGCCAATTGCTGAGTCTAGGCCCCCTCCTGCCCCAACAAAAAAGGAGCGCTGGAAGTGCCCGTAGTGCCTATTTGGCATTAGTTATTTTGGGTGATAAGTGATTTTTTTAAAATTTTGAGAAGCCTAACCCGTTTGGTAAACTGTGAAAAAATCACTTATTATTAAAAATTGATGTGAGAGAAAACTATAAGGGAAAGCAGCTAATGAGGTGCTTTCATTTTCTGATTATTCAGGAATCAGTTTCAAAGATATGCTGAATTTAATGATTATGCGGCAATCATTTTCTAATTATACATAAAATCAATACCAACAACACTTTTAGCAAAAATTTTACCAAACGCCAAACTGCTTTCTCTCACAGTAAATCTAACAGTGATTATTTTCATAGCACAGCAATACTAAACTAGCCCTTACTGTAGTTAATCCGACTTCTTTTTTTCTTCCATCCTTTTTAAATAAATTTTAGTTGACATTATTAAAAAAAAATTGTGAGAGTCGGCCGGAGAAGCCCACGTCCGCTTGAAGAATGTAGAATCAGGGGCCCATTAGAGTATGACCTCTTATAAAAAAATCGAAATCTTGGCCGAGAAGCAAAGAACGAATCCAGTAGGCAATGATCCTGAAAACGACCCAAAACAACAAAACCCATTGGAAAATGGTACGCGCTAAATAAGCCGCGGACGAACCACACTCTTCTTACTCTTCTCTCTGCTTCTTAACCTGAAAGCTGATCTCTACTAGTAATCTGAGCTCTGTAAAGGTAAAGGTTTTAGAAACTTCTCGTAAAACCCAGATATTGTCTGGGCTTTGTTTAATTGGCAACGATGATGCTTCATTTTCGAGACCCGGCAAAGTTGAAGACTAAGAAGGTATTTCTCGGTGCCTCTCATATTCTTGAGTTTATATTTTGGTGGTAAATGTGTTTTGAGTTATTTTTGGAGAGTCTATGGTGCTATTAAGCTTCTTTGGTCTTGAATTTTGTTTTTTTTCGGATTTTTTATACTGAGCTTATTATACACCCAGTTGATCAAATTTCCAATTTTGTCATGCCATGTTGCTTGCTTGTAATCAGGATTGAGATTGCGGTAATGGTGAACGTGCATAGACCCAGTTGGGTTTTCGTGAATTTTGTTGGGTAGAAAATCATGTTTAGGACCCACAATAGGAGGACAACAAAAAATATAAATTTAATACTGTGACGTTGTCAACCCCACTGAATGAAATTTTGGTCTACTCTTCTGGAGGAAAGATTTTGGAAGGTTTTGGGGATGAATACATAGAAGTGGATATATGTCCAATAAATTATTCGGCAGTGTTACTTGTTCTTTGTGTGGTTAATAATTTTTCAAGTGATTTGTTGTCAATGGGGACAGATTGTGTTTGAAGAGGCTTATTCTGCTCGTGATTCCACAACACTTGAGCAACTGAAAGAATTGAGCTCTAAGCGTAGAATGATTGAGGAGTCTATTAATGAGAGCAGCTCCATTACTACGGCCATTGCAAGAGAAATGTCTGGAGGGTTAACTTCTCGTTCTCAACAGGTAATTTGTCAGTATGGCATTTGGTATTTGGAAGACCCACTTATTATTTCTTGCCAGGCATATGAGATTTATTTTGCATCTTCATTTTCATGCATATTAATGTCACCCTTTGAATATACGTAAAAAGCTTTATTGTTTAGTAATACTGGCACTATCCTGTTCTAATGGCGAACTCTGTTTGTTTGTAGGTACTTTAGTATCTGTTTGGATGAAACATTTGTTCAACTCATGTCTTTGTATTTAATAATCTTATGTTAGTTTAATGCCGTCCTTCAATCTTCATGTGTTTTAGGTTGTGAGATAATGTTACATGGAGAACTTGCGTATTTATTTTGGTACAAATTGATTCTTTCCGTTTGCATCTAGTACGACTATGTAATCCAGTCTCTGATAGCATTTGATGTTTTGCTTATTCTAGTATTCTTTTCAATGTCTCAGGTTCTTCACAACCTAGAAATGTATCTTCCATTGCTGGAGAATTTGATTTTCCATGTTGGCATGATCAGCGACTTTGGCCAGATAGTTCGATGGAATTCAGAACTTAAGATGCAATGGACTAGTGCTCTTAGTTCATCTTCTTTCTTTAACTTTAAAGGTCCAAAATATTTTCAAATCAATAGCTTGCAGTTTGAGATTGGTATGACCCTTTTCCTTTATGGTGCAATCCTTCGGGAGAGGGCATTAGAAGTTCTTCCTGCAGGTAGAAGATGCTAGCTTACCTTCATATTGCACTTTTGAGATCTTTTATTATTGTTATTATTATTTCTTTTGTGACCATGGATGTAATTACCTGATCAGTTTCTTTGCGCTGTCATAGACCTAGTGCAATCGGCCACCCTTTTCAGAGAAGCTGCTGGTGTTTTTCATCATCTTGCTCATAAGGTTCTTCCTATTCTACAATATTCACTCACTGCGGAAAGGCCACCAGAAGTTGTCTCATCTGTGTCCACTGTCATGAGCCTCATTTGTTTGGCTGAGGCCCAGGTGAGTTTCCATTACAGAATTGTGGATGTTTGCTCTGTCCATACTGATATATGAGTAAATCCACTTACTTTTCTTTACTAGGCCAGTTTTAAAGAGATGATAAAAATTTTACGGTAGGCTTCTTCTTTGTGATAATTGATGTTGTTACGAAAATGTAATAGGCGGTAACAATAAAGAGGGCTGAAGAGAAGGGCACTACCGTGGGTCTTTTGGCAAAGTTGCATCGTGGTGTTGCAGAGTTGCTTGATGAAGCTGCAGGTGTTTTAAATACAGCAAGTAGGGAGTGTAATGATATTTCTTCACGCATTGTGGTATGTGTGCATTCATTTGCACGGTTATATTTTTATATTCCTTCCTCACCTTGAATGAACAGTTTGGGGCTGATCAGAAAGTTTTCTTTCCCATTTTGGTTGCTCTTTCTGGTTTGTACAGGAATTCATATCATGTTGCAAAGCGCTACATGAGTTAAAAAGTAAGAAATACTTTGCCGAAAGCCTGAAGATTGCCAACCAATTCGGGGCTGCCATCGGAGTTCTTCGAGTTGCACTGGTTGATGTGAAGAAGAAGAAAATGCCAGGCCAAGAGTCATGGAAATATGTTCTCAAAGAGGAAATTGATAAGTTTGCGGAATTACTCAGGAAGCATGAACATGAAAACGAGTTTGTTTGGCATGAGAAAGTCCCCTCTGAGGATGAGTTGCCAGAACCTGAAGGTAACAAAATTGCAAGTATCATACCTTATCAACCCAAAAGATGGGAAAGACAACTTGCCTTCAAGATTTGAAAGTACAAGAACCACTTATTGTAAAGCATTTCTGTTTCAGGTGAAGCCAAACAAATTAAAGATTCCTAGATTAGCGAAAATCCAAGTTTTTGCTGGTTTCTTTCTTTAGCTATATGTGCTCAACAAAATTGTGTATATTGAGTTGCAACTTGCTGGTGCATTGCTGCGTTATCTCCTACAAAAGAAAGGAATTTCAGTTACATTCTTTTAACTTTTCTTTAATCAAAAGATCAAAAAATAAAAACCATTACACACATTAAATTAATTTTCAAAGATTCACCATTTATTAATCATTCTTTTTATAATAAAAAATTAAATGTTCTTGTGGGTGAGCCCGTGGCAAGTGGCAGCATGAAATCCATTTGAATTTTTAGGAAATGAAAATGATTTAACTAATAATAAAGTAATAAAGTATGCACTTCAATCGCTCTCAAAATTCGCGGGAAGGCCATGGCTGTGGGTCAGTGCAGCTCTCTTCTCTGGTCGGGCAGACCATGCACGCCGAGAATACCCTTATCCCCTGTCGCGCCCTCTCCCATTCTCTCAACTCCTAGCCCCACTCCCATTCGCGCAAGTTCCAAACAATTGAGGCTTTCAACGTCCAGGTCTCTCTCTCTCTCTCTCATATATGCAGGGTTTTGTAAATCTTAGAGCTGTCTTCAGCTGTACATATTTGCAGGATTGGTAGGGTTGTTGCTGCTGTGGTTTCTGAGAAAAGCACAATTCAGTCGAGTTTCGCCGGCACTGATGGGTTCAAACTCACTTACTTGGAGGTGGGTTTTCATATTCTTATTGGTCTTTCTTAGATTTGATTAGTTTTGGGCATTTCCTGACATATGTATACAAAGTTTTGCTTTAGGGGAATAGCTGGTTGTGGGATGTGGGTGGGTTGAAAATTTTGGTCGATCCAATCTTGGTGGGTAATTTGGATTTTGGGATCCCCTGGCTTTATGATGCTGCCAAGAAGTTTTTGAAGAATTTCCAGGTAGTCTTTTAGTTCTTAATTCAATTTCCTTTTTATATATAATTTGCCTTGTTGTTATGCATATGTTGCCATTATCTTGTAGTACAATTGTTCTGGAATTGATAAGCCTGTTTTGATTGGGTGTGCAATTTTAGTGCAGCTAAGTGATCTTCCAGAAGTTGATTGTTTACTAATCACACAAAGCCTCGATGACCACTGCCATTTGAAGACTTTAAAGCCGCTCTCTGAAAAGTACCTGAATCTTAGAGTAATAGCTACACCCAATGCTCAGACATTGTTGGATCCCCTTTTCAGCAATGTAAGCATATTCAATCTGAAACTAGCGTTTTCTTTTACAGGCTGCAGCTTCTGAATGTTTCTGTTTTGTTTTTATTTTAATATATGCTATTCATTCTTTGTAGTCACCATCAAAGAAATTAAGACCTGAGAAAAATTGGCTTGGTGGTCTATACTATAACAAGCTGATAATGACACTACACTTATATGGTATGATCAAATGAAATCCAAAATCATAACTTAACAATAAGCAATGCCTTTTTCTCAAGAACTAGCATAGTTTTTGGGTAGGAGATGTCAATCAGGCTGGGGCCTCTGTTCTTATTCAGCTGTTCCCTCTCAATTTTTGGGTAATTGCGTTTACTGCTAAGATGGTAGACATGACCGTAGACAAATTCCATGCCAAAATCACATCTCTTGTAACAACTGAACCTAAACCATTGTCTCATTTGGTTTCTGAAAGTTGCAATACTTGCATTCAAGATAATTAAATAATTATGCGCTCAGAAGCATAAATTCAGATGCCTCTTCTCTGTTTGATACTCACACTCTAATTTTTTAGTTTTTCAGGTCACATATATGGAACCTGGTCAGAGCTCCGTAATTGAAGCAAGAAGTGGTTCTACAGTCAAAGTTCAGGCCACTGCAGGGCCTGTTCTTGGTCCTCCTTGGCAGCGCCCAGAAAATGGGTAAGGTTTCATTCATCTATTGCCAATATGACACTAGTGAATTCCATTTTCAAGGAATGTTACAGTTCCTTTGTGGTATAATTGTTGAGAGTGTTTGTCCCACATTGAAATGTTAAGGGACCTAGCCTGAGTTTATAAGGAGTTGGGCTACTCCCCCCATTGCCAATTGGTTTTGGGGTGGAATGGAACCTCAACTTCCTTCAATAATATGTTCTTCGAGTGTATTTCCAAGGAATGTTACCTATATGTAGATTTGATTTTGATGTAGTCTATTATCTAATATTTACTCTTTAGTTGAACGAATATTAAGGATATATGTATGCTATGTGGACCAGATATCTTGTCAGTTCTCCACAAGGGAAATTTACTCTTTACTATGAACCCCATTGTGTATACAACAAGAGTTCAGTGGAGAAGGAAAGGGCTGACATTGTCATCACGCCGGTCATAAAGCAGCTTCTGCCTAAATTTACTTTGGTGTCTGGACAAGAAGATGCAGTTGAACTTGCAAAGCTGCTGCATGCCAAGTACAAATTCTTTTTACCTTGACACTGACATATAAAGAAAGATGGTTTTATTGTAAGTATTTCAATGTCTTTGTTGTACATTTTGTAGGTTCATTGTCCCAATGACAAACGGAGACTTGGATAGCAAAGGGCTTCTTGCTAGTTTAGTTCAGGCTGAAGGAACAATAGAATCATTCAAGGTTGTTTTCTTCAACTCCTTGTTGAGAAATATATTTGAGTCATTATGCTTTTGAAGAAAATAAACTCTTAAGATGACATGGTTATGTAATGCAGGAACTTTTGTCCAAGGAATTACCAGATGCGCAGGTACTGCAGCCTACTCCTGGTGTACCTCTAGAGATCCCACCACTTTCCAACCTCCCATAATTTGTTTTTGCAGACACACAGAAACTGTATCTCCTTAAAAATATGTACATCTTTATCAAATCAAATTTGTAATTTTCCAAATGGAAGTTCATTGGAAGGCAAGGCCCAATGGGCTTGGTCTCGCTACATATTTTTTAAAGAAAAAGAGAGTCCACTGTGGGTACAGTTAGAGGCGCAAAACGTTTGTAATTCATAGAATGAGTGCAAGCGATGCAGGTAAGTCTCTTAATCGTTTGATCAAATAAGTTAGTCGTTGGATCAAATTGGTTAGCTTTATCATACGGTTAAGAGATGTGACATCATTTAAGGATATTAGACAAGGCCCTAAGTATAGAATGACTCGGGTAAGTATAGTCTCAATTTAATTAGTAACTAAATAAAGTACTTGAAAGCTCTTAGTTTGTCAGATCCTGTTCCCATGAATTTTTACAGCTCCATAAATGGTGTTTTGTTTGGACTGAATTTCCTATAAATGTTTACATTTTTGTATTTTTCTAGGAAGCAAGTGTGCATATACACCACAATCTGTTTGTTTGCCTATGTAGTTTCCTCTTGTTTATTTGCCTAATAAATTAGGTATTTTTCTCTTTTATTTATTTATTATTATAATAAAATAAAAACAACTTTGACAACCTCAATGAACCTGGCCGGTTTCATCCATGAGAGATATTAGCGGTAGTGTTATTAGACTACAACCACAACAATATATTCCATTTCTGGAGCCAATAAAATTATAAAACTAGTTTGCTTTTTTATCACCAAAGAATTATGGGAAATGCACATAGAATCCGAATGCATTTGGACTTGTTGGCGTCGTCCTTCAGGAGACTGAATGAATGATTCCGTGAAAATGGCCTGCATATATCTTGTGATTTATTTATTTAGAATTAAAAAAGCAACACTGGTTCGTCAACAATGACTTGGACTATAATTAAAAAAGCAACACTGGTTAAAAATTGAGATTCACTTTGGAATATAATTACAATTTAATTGGGTCAACTTCGAATTATAATTATTTTTGGGGGAAATGTAAGGATATGTATTGGAACGGGAATGAAGTACTAGTACATACTATACAGAGGGGTGATAATTCTGCAGTTTACTCGAGTCAATATCAAATGCTAATTGATCACAGTTGTTTTCTATCTTCAAGTGGGGAGGTCTATATTTAGTTTTGGGATACATTTAACCCTCTAAAACATGATTTACAAAAAATAGTGACAGACTATTATATTTTAACCGTTTCCAACAACAAATAGCTCAATTTTGTATTTTAATAGCTTTTAGTATATAATGTACATTTATTAGTTAATTTAATTAAACCACTATTTATATTTATACATTTTTACAAAAATATATATTTTGGGATAGGATTTTTTACATTCACGTGTTGGCGAGTGATTAGCCCTATAGATTTATGATTAGATTTTTTATTGTTATAAAAACAACTTAAAAATTAATTTAAATGGAAAATGATGAATGATAGTTTGTAAAAGAATGAAGAAATTGTGAGAAATTATGTAAAAGGATGAAATTGAGGAAGGATAATATGTAAAATTATGAAGATGTTGTGAGAAATTATGTAAGAATGAGGTAGGTATTTATACCCAAAAAAAAGTAGGAATTTTTTAGATTTTTTAAGAAACATCACCTAATGGCTAAGTGACGTCAGCTGAGCCCCATCCAATTATTTAGCCTGGGCTGGCCAAAGGGCCACATGTGGCCCTCATTCTAGGAATTGGCCCTTTGTGTGGTCCTCCTTTTTTCGATAACTCTTTGTATAGCCCACTCTTGGAGATGGGTTTTAGGGATTTGGGGCTATATTTGAGGATATGGCCATCACTTGGAGATGGCCTTAGTTAAAGGAGATACCAAGTGCAACTCATATGGATGCGATCATGCGAAAATGATATTTGTGATGATTTTTTTTTTCGGTCAGAAATATTTGTGATGATTTTGCTACTCAAGTTGTGATTAGTTATATTGTAAAACATAACTTTGTTATTTGCGTGTGATCCGATCGGTCGTAAAATATATTTAAAAATATCATATCGTTTGTCCACAACAAAAATGTGAAAGAAAAAAAAACACCAAATACGCATGTATATTCGAGAGATACAGATGTTGACGTAGATAGATACCATATATGAAATCTTTTTGTTTTCATTAATTAATCTAGTCAAGCACGACAAGTTCAAAAGAAAAAAAACAAAACTTGGCATTGATAATGTATGTAGGATTAATTTGTCTAATTCAATAGTTCAACTTTAAGAAGATCACCAGAATATGCTCAACATCTTCCCCTCAGAAGAATTATGATGACATTTTGTCACCAAATGAACCAAAAAATATTCCTCTTAATGAATTTAATAGACGGCAAGAGGCACTTGGCCTTAAGGTTCACTCAAGGGACGCTTCTCTCTCCCTTGGACTTAGTCCTAATCCACCCCATCTTCTTCTAGAACACTTTGAACATGTCCTCAACTCAATGGATTCTTTGCTTAAAATACATATTCAATTCATTTTCTATTTAAGGACACCTCTGATTCCAAAAATAGAAATATCATCTCCACCCAGAAGGAGAAGAAATAGTCTGATGAGAACTCAGAAACCAGACGTGTCTTCACTCGATTACAAATTGGCCCACCATCAAGCTCAAGCTGCATAATATACTGAGCATATATGTGAGCTGGGAGGCCCCCACACCACATGAACCAATTAGGCTCTCCGCTCTTCAGTAATTAATTAATCTTAATCTTAGTTTAAGTTGATTTAATTTAAGGAAAATTAGGTATTAGACATTATTAAGTTTACTAATTAGTAAGTGAGATATTAGGTATTTTAGTTTGGGTTTTAATACTTAAAAAAAATAGTTATTTTAGATTAGGCCAAAGGCTGGCCCAGATTCGTTGGGCTAGCTTAAAAATAACAAATAAAAAGACAATTCTACCCTTTTCTCTTAAAAAGCCTGGCCCATCTGTAAACCTACAAATTAAATTACGCTTTTGCCTCTGAACGTTTAAACGACGCGCGAGTTTCTTCTTCGTTCGTTTTCGTTCGTTTTCTTCTTCGTTTCAGAGCTGGGTTCTGCCATTGGAGCTCAATTTTCTGGTAGGTTTTGCTTTTATTTTCTTCGTTTTTCTGTCTTCTTTTTTCTGCTACGTTTTCGTTCGATTTGCATGCTGAATGACTGTCAGTTTTGGGTGATTTCTGTTCTCCTTAGTTCGGGTATTTCGAGCTCAGTTTTGTGGCTCGATTTTGCGGCGCGATCTTGTGGCGTTCAATGCTAAACCCTATATTCTTCGTTTCGTGATCAGATTTTGATTTTAAGCTGCTGTTTGGTTGTGGAGATTTTTGGCAGTCCTAAGTTTTGAGGTATGAGTACTTTATAGGGAGTTTCACTAAAACACCCAAAATGGAGGTTGAAATTATAAAAAAACCCAACACCCAAAAAACTTTATAAACACACCCAAAACCCATCATTACACACATTCAAAACCCATTTATAAACACACCCAAAAAGTTGACTTTTGGGTTGATTTTGGGTGTGTTTCTATGTTTAAATAGTGCTTGGGTTTTTTTATAAATACATGTGTGTGATTGGGTTTATTTATAAATTTGTAAAAATAACCTGTTTTCGTTTATATCGACTTGTATGTTTATGGAATTTAGTTTTAGTACTTTTATCGTGGTTTCCTTTTGGTTTCTATTCGAATTGTTTTGATTTTTCTGTCATAAACTACATCTGTTTGTTGTAGTTTTGGTAGAAACTACATTGCAGTTTCTTGTTTCATAATTCGATTTCAGACTAATATTTGGAAGTCTATTGGAATTTTACAACTGTTCATGTACATTATTTACTGATTTAAATTGTTTTCTGTTTTTGTTTGTTGTTTTGTTTGCATTTTCAAGGCTAATGGAGGTGTGTGTCATTGCCAAGTGCACATATAAGTCGGAAACCATGTTGTTTTCATTTTCATCAGAGTCATCAATGGTTGATATTTTGAAGACTTTGTGTCTAAGGTTTAAGGGTAGCTGCAATTCTAGCAAAGAAAGATTCAATTTATGATTACGTGGAGTGTTACTATAGGACTGACTTCTTTCGAAAAGCCTATGAGAGTCCTATTTTTCCTATTCCAGATATTGGGAAAGGCTTGGGCAGCAACAGTTTTGCAGCTGGAGTTGTGCTTCCGCCAATTACAAAGAGGCCAGCCGGAAGACCACCAACAAAGAGGATCAAAGCTTTTGGTGAATTTAAAAGGCCATTGAAATGCAGTCGGTGTAGTGTTACTGGGCATAATAGGAAGATTTGCAAGGCTGTGATATGAACATTCCTTCTCAGTTGACGATTGCTTACGTTAGATATGGTTTAGTGAATGTATAGTCAGTTTCTGCATTGCACTTTTTGCAAAACCTGCACTGCAGTTTCTGTTTATTTGTTGCAGATTTTGAACAGAACTTGTCCCATAATTCAATTTCAGAATACTTTTTGCTAGTCTATGGGAATGTTATAACTGCTCATGGAGTTAAATGTGTTTTGATATTAGTTTTAGTACTTTGATTATGCTTTACCTTTTGAGCAGCAGTGCAGATTTTGACCAGAAACTGCAGCGCAGTTTCTTGTTCGATAATTCAATTTCAGAATAATTTTTGCAAGTATATTGGAATGTTACAACTGCTGACCTACTTAAATGTGTTTTGATATTAGTTTTAGTACTTTGATTATGCCTTTACCTTTTGAGCAGCAGTGCAGATTTTGACCAGAAACTGCAGCGCAGTTTCTTGTTCGAGACCAGAAACTGCAGTGCAGTTTCTTGTTCGATAATTCAATTTCAGAATAATTTTTGCAAGTATGTTCTCATATACCATAACTAGAAATATTTACAAACATCCACAAGAATTAAGATACATATTGTCTTGAGTTAACGAAAGGCAAATCACTAGAGACGATTAATTACACAGTGTTTGTGGTGTAGGAGTTTTGTGACATATGTGCTCGATATTCATTCATGAATTTCTTGTCCACACTTTTTGGAATGGGCTGTCCTTGTGCTATTTTATCCATGTAGAACATGACGAACATGCCGCAATCCAACCTGCAAATGAATACGAGATTAGCTTTTGGTTTTGAATGATTTCAAATTGTAATGAATGGTTGAGTAGACACAAATTGTAATGATTTCAAATTGTCAAGAGGGTCTCCCTCTTCTCTGGTAGTTTTTCTCTTTTTATATGCTTTCAAAATACCCTGTACAATGAGATTGAATGATTCAAAAACTGCATTGGATAAAATACAAACTGCAATGCAGTTTTGCTTTCACTAAAATGCAAAAAACAGAATATACCAGAAAATATGCATCTACTTGACATGAAATTGAAAGATCAGCATAGCCAAAACAAGAACTACAAAACACAACAGAAACTACATAACAACATGGCGTGAAATGAGCAACATTCAAGAAGCGCAGAAACTGCAATGCAGTTTGTGGTTCACTGCAATGCAGTTTGTGGTTCACTAAAATGCAAAAAACAGCATATACCAGAAAATATGCATCAACTTGACATGAAATTGAAAGATCAGCAAAGCCAAAACAAGAACTACAAAACACAACAGAAACTACATAACAACATGGCGTGAAATGAGCAACATTCAAGAAGCGCAGAAACTGCAATGCAGTTTGTGGTTCACTGCAATGCAGTTTGTGGTTCACTAAAATGCAAAAAACAGCATATACCAGAAAATATGCATCAACTTGACATGAAATTGAAAGATCAGCAAAGCCAAAACAAGAACTACAAAACACAACAGAAACTACATAACAACATGGCGTGAAATGCACAGAAACTGCAATGCAGTTTGTGGTTCACTGCAATGCAAAAAACAGAATATACCAGAAAATATACATCAACTTGACATGAAATTGAAAGATCAGCATAGTCAAAACAAGAACTACAAAACACAACAGAAACTACATAACAACATGGCGTGAAATGGAAAGAAGTATAAATAATTTAGCAGAAACTACAATGCAGTTTCTGTTTTCTTCAGTGCAGAAAACAGTTTTGATGCTCTTTTGTGATTTTTCGGTTTCTAGAGGTTTTCAAACCAAAACTAAACCCAAAACCTAAACTACATTGCAGAATGACAGTAAGTAAAATTTCAGAACCCTAAAATCAAAGGCAAATTTGTGTTAGGGGTCATTTTCTTACGATTTTTTCCCCAAGAGAGTGCTAAACCCTTCAATCGTCGTCGTTGCTGGTCGTCGCTTCTGGTCGTCGCTCGTCGCCGTTTCAGATTTTGGGGGAATAGGTTGGAACTGCTGAAAGAGAGAATGAAGAATCGGCTTCGATCGTTGGTGGTCTTCGATGATGGTCGCACGAATGGGTTGGTGGTCTTCGATGATCTTTGGTGGTCTTCGATGATCGTTGGTGGTCTGGAGGTTTCTGGAGTTGAAGTTGAAGAGGTTTCTGGAGGTGAAGTTGAAACGTCGCGCGAAGGAGTTGTGATTCAATTTTGGTTTCGGTTGATGTCGTTTTGGTTCAGTTTTGGTTTGATGTCGTTTTTCAGTTTTTGTTTAAAACTAAATACTGAAAATGGCATATGTTGTAATTTTCATATTTTGTAATGGTATTTTTGTTACATTTTGGTTTTTTTCCTTTTGCTAATTATACTAAATTGTATTTCCTTCTACTAAATTAGTAAACTATATTATGCTTTAAAACTAAAGCTCCCTTTAATTTATATGGTAGATTCTTGGACAAGGTAAGATTCTTGGGGATCAGAAAACCTTCCTGATTGGTCCTTCCTTCCCCAGAAGATAAGTTAAGAAAATGGAGAATATACTAGCACATTACATTTTAGATGATAACATATATGCACATTTCCGAATAATTAAAAAAAAGCTAAATTAAAATATTAAAAACTAGTGCCTAATTGTCCCGAATACATTGGAATATTCGGATGTGGACCATGGAAGTGGTACGTTTTCACTTCGTTTTCCTGTATAAAAAAATGGGAGGACTCGCAATGCGATAAGCTAGAAAATTAGCTCCAACTAACACACAGCTTTGTCCTGTGTGTCTTGTGTTGACACAACACAAACACAAACACAAAATGATAATAATTTATGGGGCCTAGCCTGGTTATAACTTTAACTTGTACCATCTACCATGCATTATCAGAGCCGCCACGTTTTAAAATGGCCTGGATCACCGCCATGCAAGCATCTAAATAATATTCCCTCTTGGATAACATTTGTTTTTCTCTGGTTGTTTTGTATTTGTTTAGATAAAAGCCTAAAAAGTTGATAGAGAGATGATCAAATTATTCCCTATTTTATTACAAATGTGAACACTTTGAAGTATTTATGTCATGATTATTACTACCTTTTATTGTTTATAATTAAAATTTTGGGTAAGGAATTCGTAACTCAAGTCATTATAAATTTTTATTTTTACGCTTGAGGCCCTAGGTTTTGGTGATCTGTACAACTACAAAGTATAAGACGAAAATTAGGGTCAGCTTTGGACATTTGCATGAGTTCATCTTCTTAAATCTCAAGTATAGAACGACCCTTCATGATATTCTAAAACTTATCCTTATCCTTTCACTATTGGAAGGGCTCTGAAACATGTAATGGCTGGCTTCACTTGAAATGATAAATATACAGTCATTAAAAAGAACAAGAAAAAGTAACATTAAACTGTTAAGAGTGTGGTTTTATGGATAAGGTATCCCCATCTAGCTTACCCAACCAAAACCTAATCAGCTTCAGATAGAAGTTAACATTAAACTGTTCAAACCCCACTTTCTAAAGCAGTTGATGTTCGGAGGGGGTGGCTTTATTGGGAAACATATGATATGTGTGTATGTGCACATGTTTTTGATGCATACATATCCAACAAACTACTGAATTTTGCCAATATTTTTCTCCTTTTGTGCAAAAGGCCAAGGAATTATCATTTTGTGTGTACTCTACGCAACCCAATTTTCTATGATTTCAGGCAACAATAGCCAAACAGAAAAGATTTGATTAGATCTGCAACATCTGTGATTTGCTTATTTTCTTGGGTAGGAAGATTTCTCGTGGGTCAGGATTCTTTTGTTGTCATTTTTTTATTTTTCAGGACTTTTAAGTAAAGAAGACTATATTCCCCTCTTTGTCAACAAAGCTCTATAACTCCCTCATCAAGTTATAGCTACGAATAGACCATCCTTTTCACCAAACCTTACGTGGCTGTCCGGCCAGTTGGACAACTTCAGATGTGGAAATTAGTCAGCATTTACATAATTTGGAGTTTAGCGTTTAAGTGATTGGTTGCCTGTGTAATTATTATAGTTGAGCCCTTTGGGTTTTATCAATAATATTTTTATCATTTGGAGAAATATATGTATATATATATTTACAGTACAAGTCTTAACCTTGGTGCAATTAGTAATTACCACAGTAAGTGCCATGAAACAGTTTGATTTGCAGCTTCTCTGTCCATTAATATGTTCGTATTAGACTTTGATATTTGCAAATTGTCTAGGTTCTTACAATCTCAGCTACCATTCAAATTTCAACCTCGTAGCCAGTACAAAACAGAGCATTCAATCAAATGCATACAACAGTTAACAAGCCGACGATTACTAAAATGTGCAGGCTATACATATGTACATAGAGATATAACAAACAAGAAACATTATGTTATTATTGGCGTGCTCGAGCCTCATAATATTTTTTATTCTGCTTCCAAATTCTGTGTGTAATTTATTCAACTTCAAAACTTTACTGTCACTGTACCTCGTATCCAGCACACACCTCTACATCTTATAGCTCATAAACAACAGGAGGGAAAAACAAAACAGGGAATAGGTCAGAATATTGGTGTGGTAATCAGAAAGGACTTTCTATAACGCTGGTTACAAAATTTTTACATCTTTCTCATGTTAAAAAAAGCTTATAACACAGGGGAAGCAGTGGTGTGAGTGGAGGATGATGTAGCGGTAGAATTGCAACGACCGCGGCCTTCGCTGTGGCTGACCCTCTCATCTGAATGAGAGGACGCAGGTCTCTTCGGTCGCGGTCTTTGCATTAAGGATGGTGGTGACACTGGTGTGAAGGTAGACGGAGATGTAGCCACAGGTGCATATATTCCATTGGCTGCAGCAACCCTGGCAGCCTCCCCTGAAGCTGTGGGTGCTGCTACTGCTGCATAGTCCTGGGGTGGCACCCAGATACCTCCCACAACCAAAAACTGTGGTGCTTGTGTGTTGCTGTTGCTGTTGTTGTTGTTGTGCATTGTTGGAGTTGGTCTTCGAGTGTGCAAACGATATTTCTGTAAACAATGGAAGATGATAGAAATTAGGCTCTGCTTGATTGCAGGACGGCTTAATAAAAATTCACAACTTCTGATTGATTCTTCAAGAAATGTATGCTTTTGTTAGATTCACAACTCTTTGTTGCTGGGTTGTTTTATAATATTGTTTTAATCACATTGTAACTTGCACATAGAGAAGCACCCAAAAGTTAAATATGAATTGAAATTCAAGAATAATAGCATGACTTGAATTGATAGGAAACCTAGGAAATACAAACTAACAGTACCAATAAGATTATTATATAAGTTAAAATTGTAAAGATCTCCATAAAAACATTGCTTCCAATCTCTGTCATGTATGAGTAGTGGCATGGCATTAGCTCCTTGTACAATTTTATTCACATAAAGCAAATTATTATTAAAACAGATAGATGATAATCACATATACAAACCTGTAAATGGCTTTTGACTTCATCGTTTGTGAGCCCATCAACCTTCATTAACTCTCTAATTTGCTTCGGTGTAGCAGCTGCAAGAAAAACCAATCACACCCACAAGTCAAGCAAACATCCAAATGAATTTAATCCCATATGCATCCAATCATAATAAATAACATATCCCATGATCATTGATCATCCAAGTAAATTAATCTCAAAAACATTATAAAGGTTACTCAACAACATACCATGTGAACCACCAAGCTGTTGAAGAGCATGCAAGAACCGGCGATGCAACTCCGGTGACCAATTCCGCCTTTGTTTCCTCTGACCCTGTCCATCTTTTTCTTCTTTCTTGAGGCTTTCACCACTGCCTCCACTGACGGTGTCTGTGGTTGAACTAGTAGCCGGAGCAGAAGCAGGCACTTTAGCTACTGGCCTATTAGTCTTTCCAACGCTTTTCTCCCTTTGGAAAGGCTGAAAAGCTCCCCCATTTCTCTTGACCTCCATCACTAAGGCCTTTCTAGGCAATTCCTGCAATGACCAACACCCCCAAAATCAATACTTTCCCACTCTTTTACCTCAAATAATGGAGCTGCTAAACAAAAGGGCAATCACAATTCATTTCAATAGATAAAGGTGGAATCTTTTTTATACCTCTTGAAGGGGTGGATCTGGGGTTGTATTCCAGAGCTGGGCAGATCTAAGCCAGTCTGATTTTTTCTTGTCACCATTAGTCTTATCCTTGTCATTGGTCTTGGGCTCCTGAGACTCTTGCACCTCGTCATCATCACTATCAGAAGAGGAAGTCCTTTTCAAGGGAATGAATTCCTCAAACACAAGCCCCTCACTTGAAGTTTGTTCCGAGCACTCAGATTGTCCATGCATGTAGTCTGTGGTTGTGTCCGAAAGCTGTTGCTTACACCTCTCAATAGCTAGAAAAAACAACCCAAAAACAAAATAAGAAAACAAATCCATATAAATTCAAACCAAGACATGAACTTTAGGATTTATAAGACAAGACTTCAGGTGTAAATTGAAAAGGGTCCGTACCTTGAGTGACAAGCTCCAAGCAGAGAGGGAGCTCTCGCTGAAAAACTTGAATCTTATGCCTCTCTTCCTCTAAGGCCTTGACATAGTCACGGAAACCCAACCTTGAAGCCTGCATTTGCTCTGTAGACTCCATAGCTAACTTTTTATTTTATTTTTTTCTTCCTGGATTTTTCAAAGCTTGTGTCTTTATCTTCCTTCTTGGGTTAAATCAGAGCTAGAGAAATGCATGTGTGAATGTCTTTATGTATGAGAGAGATTATAAGAAGGAGCAGGTGGAGGTCCAAAGCATAGATAGAACCGAACAAGGGGGATTGGGTAACGAATGGGGCTTGTCAAGGACGCATATGGGATCCAAGTAGAATCCGAAACCGGAATAATCTTGCAGACCAAAACCAAATTATTTAAAAAGAAAGAAACCAACAAAAACAAGTTTCTAGAGATATTAAATTAGAAAAGAAAAGATGGAATTTTTAGGAGTGTTTTTTGTTTTCAGAGAGAGAGAGAGAGAGAGGGAGAGAGACGTCGGGTCGTGGCGTCGCGTACAAAAGCGAATCTGTGATTGGGTTTTTATTTCCAAATTAGTTTTTTTTAGAAGTCGGGGTTGAATATTCGATGGTATGAATTGTGATTCGCTTTTCTCTGCCTATCTATGGGCTGGAGCTGACGTCACCACCTCCCCCACCTACTTTTATCTTTTATTTTTTATTTTTAAATGTTCTAATTTTTATCGGATAAGATCAAAGACCGATTGCTCCCTCCCTCCAGAGGGCTCAGCCTCTTACCAATTTCTTTCTTTTTCTGTTCCCGACCCTCTGTCTATTTTTATATTTTATTTTTCTGTTTATCTGATTAATTCTTGGTCGTATTTATTTCAAGTCTATTGTTTCTCTCTCTCTCTCTCTCTCCTCCGAATATTCTCGGGGTTTTCCGAGAGCAAGGGGAATCTTCAAGGTTCAATCTTCTTGTGCGTGGGTGTGTGCGTGCACACTCGTGGCCACGACGCGTAGCATTAGGCGTGATTAAATGTGCCTTTTCGCGCCCTCCGAGGGCCAACTGCTGCTCATCCTAATCCACACTGCCCTTTGTTTACGCTATGTTCAATCATTGCTTCCACCACGCCCTGTCATCGGTGCGTGCTTCCCAGTACCCGTAGGATTTTGACACCTGTCATTTTCTACACAGGGGAATTGAGGCCTTTTGGCTAAAGATCAAGTATCCCCGGATTCTGGACGGTGCAGCGATTCCCTGGAGGTGGGCGTACTGTAGAGATGGTCAATAAGGGCTTAGTAATGTTTGGGGCGTTTAGGGTTGATCCATGGCCCAGGTAATAGCCGGGCTGGGGCTCATTTGGATTCAGCCCATTAATGTAGTTTAGAACTTAAATAAAAGAAAGTTTGGCAGACTTTAGCTTATTAGATAAATTGGTTCGAGTGTATGTGAAACCTACTCTTCACTCGAGTTTGGATCCCCTTTTATTACAATTTAAATTAGATTAAAATAGAATATGATTTGTATCAACAACAACAACAACAAAAAGTTAGTTTGGTATTTAAAATGACGAATGTGTTGCCTTAGTATTTAATTTAAATTCTTTTTTCTTTTTTAATCTGAAGATGTTTTACTACCTGAGAATTGAAAGAAGATCACTCCATGTCCGGTCTTTCAACAAAATAAAATCAATGTAATGTTGAGCAAGCAAAGTGCTTCTCAAAAGTTCATCGATCACACCAGAGAAAAAGAAAGTTAAAAAAAACCTAATTGTGTCAGGCTCGAGAAGGTGACGCATAATCTTATGACCATGTGATCAATGTGAATGATATGGCAATTTACACTTCCCCACCCCCAACCCCTCCGGACATCAAATCAGAAAATAAACGTTTTTCTTAAATTTAGTGTTGATGAATATTGGACCATCTTTTGTAGGCTCCAACTCTACAGCAAACTTTTAAATGGAGCCCAAAAAGAAGCTGCCCAAATTATAAAAGATCCTTTTTACTTTTTGGGAGTACAAGAAGAATCTCTCTTTCTCAGCCCCAAGTAACATAGCATCTTCTCTTGCTTGCTTCTTTGAAAGTTTCTATTGAATTTTATTTGTTTTCACACTCTTCAAAAAAATAATTATTAAAAAAAAAGATCAGAAAATATTGCTTAAACAGTAACATAGAGATCCCTGTGCTGTGGCGGAGTCAACAATGAAATGTTGACTAGAAATTAGTCTTTCTGAGTGAAGGAGCTGGGACTGTCACATGAACAGTAGTTAATTAGAGGAAGGGAAGGAGGGAGGTGGTGTGACAAATCAATGGGGGCGGCTATGAAGTCTGATGAGGTTGGCACTGTTGGCTTTTCCCAGTTTCTTTTTTCAGACAAGACGAAGATTTGGAAATTTTTACTTTGTCTTTCCTACGTTCGAGTCTCACATACACATATTTTGCAAGGCAAAGCCATGCGTGACCAACAGTTTGTCTTTGCACTTCCTCAGCTCATGTCATTCAACAACAATAGTAAGTAAGAGTACATCCCACCACTATATATATATATATATATATATATATACACTGCATCTTGGTGGGAGGTATTTCTTTTACCCGATTTAATTTGTTGTGTTATGATTAATTGCGATCAAATTAATTGGAATGACCCCGTCATGTGGTATTATATATCAATTCACATGTTGTAGTGTAATGTTATTATTTACAAGGTCAGCTAGCACGATATAAGTACCTTGCCTGCCTGCATATATAATGTCAATCAATAGCATGAAAATAGGAGAGGTATTATCTCTAATTCTTTGGATTCTTTGTTGGGTTTCTAAACTTTCTGTGTAAGTGTACTGAATGAGAGACTGAGATTATAGGCCTAATAGCTAGTCAAAATCCGTTTTGTACAAGTTTTTAAGTGAAGAAAAAAGCAAAAGAGCGAGATTAAAAGTGGCACAGGGAATTTCTGTTCGTATAGAACCCAACCCACATGCGGGCACTTGACTTTGTCTCAGAGACGTACAATTAATCACCAAAACAATGCTCGTTGTTCAAAAGTTGCACCTTATAAATAGTGAGCTACATATGTAGCTAGGCTCCTATGCTTAGCAAGTTACCCTTCTCTTTCTCTGCAAAGCCAAAGCCATGGATGTATGCATGTTTTCGAGCGCGCTTTTGTCATGTGATTAGTGATGATCATGCAGTGTATGTTTCTTAATCCCGATAAGCAACTAAAAGTTGAGCTAGGGACCAGGCCAAACCTAGTACTTTTTTGAACCAGTCCTTTCGCTAGTCCTTTCAATGGGTTATTAGCTTCGGGAAGAAGCACATGGATGGAACTGTTTTTACTATCTGGTGGTGTTTGGTTTTTGTTTTTCCTTGTATTTCAATGAAGTCTCTGGACATTGATGGGATGGTTTGAATTACCATCCATCTAAGTTTCTGTTTTGGGCCGTATCCAGTCAAACTTTTGCACTGCACCAATCGGTCAGGTTGGCCCATTTATTATTCTGTCAAAATCTTGTTCGTATATGGTACAGAAACACCTAATATTTTTGTAATTTATATAGTCTTTTTTAAAGTTGGTAAATGATTTATTTATTTGCCATCAGTTATTGGGATATTTTGAACAATTGGTGGCACTTTGCTTATGCATGGATTTTGTCTGAGATTCTAAAAACAATATTCCAGCACAAGAAGAAGAATATAAAACACAAACAGTAGTATAAGTTGAATGAATGTCGCTTTAGCAGCTGGAGGTTGCTTTACTTTCTCACACTGCAGTGCAGTGCGGTTTCTGGCTTGGCTTGCCCTTATGACAGATTTGTGCATTTCATTTTGAAATTTTTACTTCTTTTTTTGTTTTGTTTATTTTGTCCCCATGGTATAGTAATTAGTAACTAGGAGGAGGAGGTGAGTGAGACCCTGTGTGGGGAAATTGGTAATGTGTCCCTTTCGGGTTTCCATGCAGCAACATTATTTGGCACCATGGCTTAGCTAGCTATCGCCATCACCATCTCTTTTATAACAAAAGTATTGGGGGAGAAAAGCTCACGCCTTCCACTCTACTGTTCTCCATGTCTACCATACAATACTGTAATATTGTATGTGATCGATATATTTTCTCTCTCTCTCTCTTTCTCTCTCTCTCTCTCTCTCTCAACTTTTGGATTTGGAGAGAGACAGAGACAAAGACAGAGACATAGAGAGAGTAAATAAGGGCGGAAGATGTATCTGAATAAATAAATGAGAGAGAGATGAGCAGGGGGAGGTATATGATATCTAAGCTAGGGTCTCGGGAAACGAGCAAGGGTTTGGAGCAATTGAGGGAGAAAAAGTACGGAGTTTAGAGTGGTGTTATTGTAGAGCACGCTAGCTATTCTCTATGCATTGCATTGCCTTGCCGTTTGCCCCCACTACCCCTAGACCTCCTCCTCCTCCTCCTCCTCCTTCTTTTCTGGTTTTTGTCTCCTCCATTCCCAAACACGCCAAAAACGCAAACATCTCCCTATTTAATAAATTTCCTTTTGTGCTCCTACGCCTATCCAATCCACGTGCAACTTGCCACAAACTCTAGCTCTCTCTCTCTCTCTCTTGAATCTTTTTTCTATATAAAAACTCTCTCTCTCTCTCTCTCTCTCTCTCTCAAACGCAATGCCGATCACATTGACAACCCACATTTATAATCTGATATGATCATAATTTATCATAGCTACCATAAGAACCCACAACACACAAAAAACCAAATACCCAAAACACAAACATAAACAACATTTGTTTATGTATATTTATTGCCTTTCCCTTTCCCTTTCTCTCTAGTCCCCACTTTTCTTCTCCACCAGAAGCCCAAAATCCCACTTCCCTCTCTCTCTCTCTCTCTCTCTCTCTCTCTCTCTCTCGCCCTCTTTCTCTCTTTCCCATATAAACAAACGCATCATCAAAATCACCATGCAAACTCCCTCCACTACTACTACTACTACCACTGATGTGGGTACCAGTGCTACTTCTTTCTTAGAAGCTGATGAAGATCAAGATGAAGAGTCCATTTTTCTTTCTCTTGGTCCTCCTGGACAGGGTGTCCCCAAACAGTACCACCTCATCTATCACCAGTCTTCTTCCTCAACCCAACCTCCTCCTCATCATCACCATCATCATCAAGATCAAAACCCTAATACTGATCATCTTGAGGATGGTGCTGTCACAGTAGCTCTTCATATTGGGCCACCAAGTAGTGGTAGTACAATTAGTTCATCAATTGGAAACCCTAACCACAACCACATTGGTGCTCCTATAGAAGGCCAGTACTGGATTCCCTCCCCTGCACAAATCCTTGTTGGCCCCACCCAGTTCTCCTGCCCTGTCTGCAGCAAAACATTCAACAGATACAACAACATGCAGGTACTCATCATCACAATCAATACCACTGCTGTATACATAGTAATTAATTGCTAATACTGCTTTTATCTACTTTTAGCATTTTATTTTCTGTATGGCCTAAGCATTCCTTGCATTTGCTAGAGCTAATTACCAAATAATGTTCTTTCTTTCTTTCTTCTCTTTCCAAATCCCCACTCCCAAATGGTCTCCTACACTCGAAAATCACAAATTAAAGTAGGAGTGGAATAGCATTTGCCCTATTTTTTTTTTAAAGCTGCGTTTACCGTTAATTTTTGCAGATGCATATGTGGGGACATGGATCACAATATAGGAAGGGGCCAGAATCCTTAAGAGGGACAAAGCCAGCTTCATCAGTGCTGAGACTTCCATGCTACTGCTGCGCAGAGGGGTGCAAGAACAACATAGAGCACCCAAGGTCAAGGCCACTCAAAGACTTCAGGACACTGCAGACACATTACAAAAGAAAACATGGGTCAAAGCCATTTGGGTGCCGCAAATGTGGGAAGCCATTTGCGGTGAGAGGAGATTGGAGGACTCACGAGAAGAACTGCGGCAAGCTCTGGTTTTGCATTTGTGGGTCTGATTTCAAGCACAAGAGGTCGCTCAAAGACCATGTTCGTGCATTTGGGGATGGCCACGCACCCTACGGTGTTGAGTTGTGTACTGAGCCTGAAGAAGAAGATCATCTGGATGATGAAGATGAGGATGATGATTAAATAACTCTGCTTTATTTGTTTAAGGGTAATTAATTAGTAAGTACACTTGGAGTTCGATTTTTAGCTAACTAGCTAGCTAGCTAGCTGTAATTAATTAATTAGATTTAGTTAGTAGCGATGAGATTCTGTCTCTGTCTCTTCTCTCTTATGTGTGTGTGAGAGACAGTGAGAGAGTGAGGGAGTGAGAAGATGAAGACAAACAGTACAATGAAAAGCCAAAGTTCTATGCATTTAATGTTGGAAGTGGCAGTTCAATTCTTTAATTAAAGTACGTACCTTTTCTGATGCTTTTTTAATATTCATAATTCTAAGAAAAAACTAGAGAGAGAGAGAGAGAGAGAGAGAGAGAGTGGCCAAGTAAATTCAGTGAGAAGAGAAACAGAGGAGGGCAGATAAAAGTGCAGACATGGATACAGTAAAGTCACAGATTCTACTGTTGATAGCTTTACATTTGCCAAAGCTATCGAGTATATTGAGCTGAGCTTGGACTTGGAGAGCTAAAAGCATCGTAAATACTAAAAAATACAAAAACTTTTTTTTACCCAAACAATAAAAATAAAAATTACAAACACTTTGATCAATGAGTCCATGTAATGTCAGTGGGGGTAAAGAGGGACCACTGAGAGTTGCTGCATTTGGGGTTTCACCCAAGGGTTTGCCTTTTTCCTTTTCAGAACAACTACAAACTGATACTACGAAACATTTTCAGACTCCTGTGAGCTTTGCCCCTTAACCCTTTCTATCTATCTATCTATCTATCTATCTTCTGCAAAATGACCACTATCATCTCTCATAATTAACATCTTTTTCCTTTGGTTTTTTTATCATTTTTTGATCTCTTCCATTTTTTCTTTTTTGTTTTTATGTATAATATTTGTGCTGCCATCAGCCATGCAAGCATGCATGTGAGGGGAGATCATTTTAGCATGAATCTGTGTGTCTGATCATTACATAAATTCAGGGGCTTGGTTGGTCGTGTCTGGAACCTTAAATGTTTTGTAATTAAATAAGATTAGGGCAGAACTCTGAGTTAAAGATCCGAGGCAACTGATGCAGCTTTAAACTTAAAATCTCAATCAGTTCCTTGCTGTGTGAGCCAATGGGGTGCTTTGCTTGTTGTTGCTTTTAATAATATTGTTTGCATGCAATCTTATTAAATTCTTCTTAGATGTTTTCATGTCTGTTTTGTGTCTGCAAACATCGATCTTCGAAAACGAGGCCTCCATCACATTCATGATACTACTATTCGCAAACAACTTGTATCAGAGGCAAGATTGCTATTATGGTGGATATATATATATATATATAGGTATTGTTACTATTATTATTATATAATTTAATTCAAATTCATCTTTTTACATTGTCAAAAAGTTAATAGTAAAATTTAAAAAACCTTGTCTCTTTCCCTACGTAGGTCAATTTCTCAGCTGGTTACAGTTGTTTTTACCATAACAGCAGCATCTGGGTTGTAAATCGAATCTAAAAAGACTGCTTTCATTTTGTACGTTGGAGGAAATAAATAGGGACTGGACTGATGATCTGGACAAGTACAAAAAAAGTGAATGTTGATAGTAGGAGGAGGCTTGCTTTCTAGCTTGCTCTTGCTTCTGATATCATTACAAATGACTAAACACCTGGGTCTTAAATTAGATGCGCATGTGATTCCTTGTGAACATGAATTTGAAGAAGCAGACCAACCTGCACATATTCATACAATCAAATCCTATTCAAGCTATGAACTCATTCTTTTTTTTCTTTTTCTTTTTGTGGCTGAATTATATATGTTTTATCTGCCAAAGTCACTGGGACTGGGACTGGACATAATAATCCTACGTACTTATGTACTCACTAGTCGTCTTGATGGTTTTCAAGAGTCCAGTGTACAAAACAAAACAGGCAAAAGAGGACGTGGAAGAGGACAATGATTTTCAAGAGACGACGAATCCGTTTTCAAGGACCCTACTGACTGAAAAGCGCTACCGTGAGTGTGAGACCCTCTGTTTTCCCCCTTGTCTGTATTTTTATTTTTTACTCCTCCGTTTTTTGTTTCTTTGGTTTTTCAAGAGGCCCATTAGGCAAACCCAAATTTATAGCTTATGAATCAATCGGGTCGTATGTTTTAAATGGACGCCCATATGCATGGTTCATTTTTCATGGATCTGGGTAGCAATTCATAAGCCCAACCCTGATATCTGGCCCAGGCAATCCAAGGTACGTATTGCATTCTATAGTAAGGGCCTTATATACGACCCTTATGTGAGGTCCTATCTCTTAATCATTAGATCATGAAATTCTTGATTATTGACGACTGTCGTTAGATCAGGGCCCTAACGACAGTCCCTAGATTTTCAAACCAACCAATGGTGTTCGTTGGATTGGCCCAGACTGATAGTATGCTCAGTGCTCCCAAGTGATCATGAGCTCAAGCCTCCGTGACATCGAGTGTGAATTTCCCCATACCCTTCTTTGAAAAAGGAACAAGTAATTGCAGGACAGATAGTATCCAATTATTCCATGACTAGTCCAATTATTATGTTATTACCTAGATGGCTGATTAGTTGGTTCATTTCAATTTTCAACAACAAAACATTAACAAATGATTTCCAAATTTTCCATTAGCCCTGCCTAAATCCGTCAATGATTCTCAATAAAGTAGAGAACGAAAATAAGATTTTAATACACAACTACAATAGAAAAACACTTTAAAAAAGAAGAGAAAAAACAAGAGGTGGGTGCCACGACATACACCAGAAAGTCCACACTTTTTTCTTTTTTTTTTTTTTTTTTTTTTTTTTTTTTTTTTTTTTGTGGGTGGGAAAAGTTCCATTCCATAAGATGATCAGTTGGTGAAGTTCGGGATGGTAGCGTTGGGCTCGGTGGCCTTGGCAGCCGGAGATGGCTCAATAGTCGGCGTCGGAACCACCGGCGTCCCGCCGGTAAGCTCCACAGGCAAATCAGAAATGCCCTTCAAATAAAACGTGTAAAACAACTTGATGGGAAACACAATCTGCTTCAGCTTGACCTGTCCGTACACTCCCTCAAAGATCCCAGATCCACCGGTCACGGCCAAATAAGTGTCCTCATAAGTCAAATAGGCTCCCTGAACTGATATGTGCCCATAGTCTCCGAAGTAGAAGCTGTAGATCGCCTCGTACCTGTCTCCTTTCTTCTCTGGTACGTTTTGGATCAGAACACATAAGCCTGCTGTTACGCCCAACCTTTTCTCCAAGTCCCCAGAGTAGATCTTGTTGCTGAATGGTACAAGATCACCGAGTGAGTTGACTTCTTTTTGGCTGAGTCTTAGGTATGCTGGGCTGCCTCTGTCTCTCTCGTTGATCTCATACACATGCAGTTCTTGAACTTTTGCTGAAAATGGAAAAGGAAATTAAAACCTTTTTAACAAAGAAATAAAAAGAACATGTTAATTGAGCTTATTGCAACAACAACAAAAAGTACTTACTGGGTCTTGAAGAATCAGCTGGCTCCTTCTTTTTCTGGGAGAAGAAAGCTGTGCTCGTGAAGTTCTTGGAGTTTGGGAAGCCTTGGAGGGTTGGTGTGGATTTTAGGGTTGGGAAGGAATGCGAGAGATTGAAACCCAACAGTCTTTGAGCTTGGGAAGGTGAAGGAGACCTGATTGAGTTGGAAATATACAGGGAAGAGATTGCCTTGAGAGAGTTTGCAGACGCCATGGCAGAAGGAATCTCAGAGGTTGAAGGAAGGGGAAGATGGAAAGTAAATGGTAAAGTAGTGGGAGACATGATATGAAGCGGAGATAGTGGGAGTTATATAATACGAATTTTATGAATTGCTTTTTAGAATTGCTTGTTGAACACGTGGGTTCTCCGCTTGTGTGAAAAGTGGAATGGTGCGGACGACGTTGCACAGTGGTCGGCATGTTGAGACCACTTCGGAGGAAAAATAGATTTTGTTTGTTCAAAGGATGCTTGGTTGTTATTTAGAGGGCGTTTCTCACATGGATTCTTGATCATCATAAAGGAAAAATAGATTTTGTTGCAATCCGTTTACAATCACGTCTCCCAAAAAGCTAATTTATGAGTCTACTTAAAATCTCCGACTTTTTCACCATTTAAAAAAATAATAAAAAAATAACCCGACTTTCAAAAAGCAGATTTTTTGAAGTAAAATGTCGGGTGGCTTGTAGGGAACAACGATTATTTACAATGAAAATCACAATGTTAAGCACTTTTGAAGCTAAACCCAAAAAATGTCATGGCTTGGAATGATGAGGTGCATATTCAAGAATTGCAGTAGCGTCATTTTGTGATTCAATTTTCGACTGGTCAAACAGACATGAGCATGACAGGAAGTTGCGCTTCAAACTTTCGAAGGTTTGACTGGCTGGCTGACTCAGGTGGGAAAATTCACCCGTTCTGAAAACATATAAACTACTAGGAGCTGCACCGCCAGAGCGACAGAGACTTGGATAGTCAGCAGGAATGCTAGTGTTCGACAAAATGGTCGGTGATTTTGTGCTGAAGTTTCAAAATCCTGGCACAATTTTTCTGGTTTGTTCTTTTCTTCCAGCAGCCGGAGGAGAAATTTTACCTGCATTGAATAATATGTTCAAGGAAAAAAGGGCATTTACCAAATCACTTGGAATTGTTGAGAAAGTGGCTCAAACCTTCCCGTGTCTCAATAGCTAAACAAAAATGCTACGTGAACAGAAGTTCACTAGAAACTTTATATGATTTCACGACACACAATAAGAAAATGCTAACTACTCTTTTGATGAGACTTTCCAAGCTTTGATCAATTTTACTAAATACAATTCTTAAAAAAAAAATGTAGAGACTTATATATAAAGAACTCACGTCAAAGAAAAGGAGCAATACCATGTTAACATATTGTTAAAATTTCAGCACCAGTTCTGGTGATCAGAATGGTATGCTCAAACTGTGCAGCAGGGCTACCATCAGCGGTTAGAGTTGTCCAATTGTCCGGCCATGTTTTACACTCAATGCTTCCCATAGTAAGGATGGGTTCTGCAGTCCAAGAGAAATAAATTTGTGTCATGAAGATTATAGAGTCAGAAATCCACTGTCACATGCTCAAACTTAAGATCTTAAATTCCCCATCTTCGAGGATGGAATACATGCATCTAGACCAAATAGATCATCGGCTTCTAACCCTCCCTTATTTCAGCAGCAGTAATAGAGGGCTTTAAATTTTAATTTTTACTCTTTGTATTTCTCTTCTATTTTTTTGTGATTATTTTTGGGTACGAGACATTCATCATCCTAGCCATACTATGTCGCCTTCAGTAAAATCTACGCTGTTTTAACCATCAAAACTTTCAAATCTGAATAAGGAACTTCCCGGTAGTACTACTAATGCACTCACCAATGGTAAATGTCTGACCTTCAACCATGCAACCAGACTGGTCATTGCCTGTTAAAAAATTAACATTTATAAGGATTAGTCACGCCTGATCAACAGCCAAATGAATGCAAATATTAAGTATGAGATGCAATGCAACCTCCCCACCGCAACCGAAGGAAAAGCAGAAAGAACCCAAGGTTTTTTATAAAAGGAGAAAATTCAACTTTCTTGAATGCTTGGGCGTCAGGTCATTGCAATTTTTCTATGTGAGCAGTTGATAGGTCAATCAGAATGGTATTCTTTCTTTGAGAAATGATAGAATATTCCTGGTCCAGATTCAAGCATAAGTATACCTTTATGGTTTACCTCATTAGGAATAATATTCTCAATTAGTAGCCACTATTATCACACCAGTCACTGATACTGTTCAGTTAATAGCATGAATCTTTCCTATCAGGATGTACCCAATGGCATACAAATGCTTTGACATGGTGAATCCAAACTTACTGTAGTTTTCTTCACCTAACCATTCATAAGCAGTTCATTCTTTCCTGAGGCGAAGATAGCAACAAAGTATGCAAAAGTAGAATTTCAACTAGTCACTTACGGTGATGTAATATTAATGGTTCAGAATGAAATACAGTCCCCACACCATGCCCAACAAAACGCTCCACCACGCCATAACCATATTTTTCAGCATGTTCGCTGAAAATGATCCAAATAAAATCTTAACAAGAAGAGAAAACATTTTTTTAAATCACCTGTTGTGCATTTTAGTTACATAGTGTGAAACACCATATGCAATACACATGTTTATTGCATCATCTTTCAAATCTAAAATATGTCTACAATCTGTTCTTATCCAACATATCACAAGGAGGCGAAGCAAACCTAATTCGCTTTCCAATTTTCTTGAAGCTAGCACCATCCTTGCAAACTGCTATGCCCCTTTCCAAGCACTCTTCAGTTACCTGCCACCAAAGTAAAACGATTAGCAATGATATATATAGATGAAGGTAATGCATAAATTGGAGATCCGTAACAGAATCAAAGCTTAATAAGGAATAGATATAGGACATTTCAAAATAGATATGAAACCTTGATGTACATGAATGATAAAAGTATGCTTTTTGCATGTCCAAAAAAATTCTGAACCACAAGATGCAATGCTATCAATCTGAAAATTTTACCTTCACTAGTTGTTTGATTGCATCACTGACATCCCCACAAAGAAATGTCTTTGATGTATCTCCATGATATCCCTATCACAGACAACATGGGATATAAAGAATTATACCATTCATTATCAGATAATAGGAAATGGTACAAGAAGTCAGTGAACAAAAATATCCAACCCATTGCATCATACCTTTTATTATCTAATAATGGTAATGAAACAAAATTCCCAGAAAATGGTTGGTATTGAACAAAAACCATTTTTAATGACTGCACACGTTAGACTACCAATAGCTGGTAGACAACTAGTATTTGTAAATGCAGAACTGGCGTATTGAATGAATTGACGTAGATAAATAATCGGAAATTTAGGTTACAAACAATTAAACTAATGATAAAAACATTTTCTGGGAGTATAGGGAAGCACACAAATGAGCTAAAACAAGAAGTCATAAATCATAAAATCAGGAACATACATTTAGGTAGACCGTCACGTCTATGTTTATAATGTCTCCACTCTGCAAAAAAGATTATCGTTAGTACGGGTATGACATGAATATTGTGCAATGTAGCATTCCAAACCTGTAACTGTCGAGAATCAGGTATTCCATGGCACATGCACTCATTAACAGATGTACAAACACTCTTTGGAAATCCCCCATAGCCAAGAGGGGAGGGATAAGCACCAGCATCAATAATCATCTGGTGCACTGCTTTGTCAATTTCATTAGTTGTTACTGATGGCTGGAAGGATGTAAAAGGATGTTAATGGAATACCAAAAATCCCTGATCTTTAAGATTAAAGTGCCAATGGTAGGAAATCGTAGAAGTAAGATATGACATTGAAGAATAAAGGTACATTCACTTATTCTTTTTCATAAGAAACAAAAAGCTGAATCTTCAAATAGCTTTAAAAAAAAATTGAAACTTCAAACCTAAATTCAGGTAGTAAGCTTACCCTAACCAACTTTCCTGCAGAGTCTAAGACGCGAGCAGCAAGCTCACATGCAGCTCTCATGTCAGCAATGCCTTGAGAGCCAGGAATTTGATGTTCACTGGCAATTTCTGGCAATTCAGATGAACCAACATAAGGAGGCCTTGGAATGTGATCTGGAACAGGAAGTTCTGGCGATACCCTTCCACGCCTCAATGGCGGACTTCTTTTAACCTTTGGTGTAAGCTGCTGACTCTCACGTTCTCTACATATTATTAAATAATCACCAGCTAAGCCAAGTAAGGTCATTGAATGATGTATTCTTAATATCAATTATCAACTTCAATGACTGAATTTAAGTGATGTTCGTGTATCTTTCTCCATGTATATATCAAATTATTGTCATATTTCTACTTTTTGTTGTTGTTTAAATTCCAAACTCTATTCAAAATTCGACAGTCTAATTCAAACAGCATTATTTTATATGGGAACTCAAATTATCACATTTGTGACACCTAATAGAGTGTTCAACAGCAACTCTGAAACAGCAGAAGAAGGAAATAAAAGATTAATTTGATAAATCCGAGGTTTCAACTAATTGTAAGACTTGGTTTGAAGGAACAGGAGGTGAGCGGACTGTACCTTTTAATTCTCATGGCTTCCTCCAAGCCCGAAAGTCTCCGAGCAAAGACAACGAGCTGCTGTTTTCGAGAAAATGGTTCTCTTCCTGAATACGCAGAACATGAAAAGCATATAATGACCAATTAAACGCATAGCTAAATAAAAAGATTACGAAATACAATAAATTTCATTTGCCACAGAGCTAGGTAGGTACCAGAGGTGGAGACTGAGAAGCGGAGTGGGGCCCCCGAGAAGAGAGATGACTTTGCTGAACTTAATAAGACTTGGCCTTGGCCATGTGCTGAGGAAGCCAAGAGTTGCAGACCAGCGACTGCCATTTTCTCTTTCACTCCAGTCTCGTCTCTCTACACAGAGACACAGAGACACAGAGTGACCAAGAAGGAGGAGAGAGTGGATAATGGAATTACAGTATCATTAGGAGGCGTTTTGGGTTTGCTTTGATTTTGAATGAGAAATACGGGCTTAGCAAGCAAGATTGGGTTGGGCTTAATGTAAAAAGGAGTTTTCTTCTTTTCTGAGCATCATCCGTACGACGTCGTTTCGATGTGGTTCGAATATACAAGATGTTTGGGCTTTGGGCTTTAATAGCCACCACCTACCTCCAGCCTATCCATGGAATTTAAGGACACTTGAATTGGATGCTAAAAAACTGCAATGAATGGGATGAATATTTCTTTTATACAAGAGAGATTTGTGCATGATGAGTAACTTCTCTTAACCATTTGAGTTACAAGCCGCTTACAGTCAATGAGATAAATATTAGGCATAAATGAATCTAAATGCCAAGAAAACACGTTGATACATGAAACGGACGGATGGAAAAAATAAGCTTAATTGGATATTTAGTTAGCTTGTTTCAACCGAGAGTTTGACAAAAACATCCACTAAAAATCAATCGTGAGAAAACCGAGCTCTCTTTGTCCCCTTTCATAGTTTGAGCGTGATGGTATAACAACTGCTTTATATTGTCCCTAATGGATTACATTTGAAACATCAATTTCCTTAAGCTAGATAGACATGAATTGCATCCATCTCATGCACAACATGTCACATATCTAGCATGAAAATATCACTCGATTCGATAACACATTGCGATTCAAACAAACCTCCCTTTAATAATTTATTATAAGCATTTCAGTATCTGGTATTATTTATATTCCTTCACTAATCAAATTCACATCACATCATCTATATGAAACTGGAAGTTGCGACGAAATATACAAAACATTAACCAAAGACAATCGGCCGCAAAGCAAAACAATACTTGATTAGAAAGAAAGTACAATTAGTTGTCAATATTTCATATTTTCCATATAAATACAATATTCTTATGCTTTGAATTCGTCAAATATTAGTTATAAAAAGTCAATAATCTTGTGGGATTCTAAAGACGGATGCGATAATAGGCATCTTAGCATCTCCTTTGAGGATGCAAAATTTGACTAAATATAGAATTGTTCAAAGTGTGCATGTGATCGTATTTCCTTACGTTTAATAATGACAGCAGCAGCAGCAGCAGCAGCAGCATTGATATTTTCTTATCCCCATGAGGCAGGCAGGCATGCATGCATGCATGATGCAGAGTACTTTGTATCTAGATATAGTCATGTAATAACCACTTCAAAAATTATATATAGCAAATAACTACTTGATTATGTTATCATTATACATATAATTGCAAGAACTAATAATATATTCACTTGCTAAGCCTAAGCCAAGAAAAGTGTGTGCTTTTACTCATTTTTCACTAATTATGATTACGAAAGATCACATGTTTTAATTCATTTACTAATTAATGCAAGTTTCAAGAAACTCCGTAGCTCTATATGATTTATAACTAGATAATTGTGTCAACAAGGTGTAGTAGCTCAGTGAAAAAGGGTATTAACTTATAAATTAAAGGTCTCAAATTTAAACCCCACGACATCTTAATTCTTAATTAATGGAGATATTTGCGGGAGATTGTTGTGCCAATACATATCCAAATTATATGCAAAATAGCCGACGCGAAAACAAAAGAAAATATCTACTCTGGGATATTACATTACAGCTAGGCTATAATGCTATAATGTTACAAGTCAAGATCTATTAAAAAGATCTCAACTTTAGATCCACTGCACCATCAATTATACTTTTTAATCCTCTCTGTTTGAGTAACTAATTATCTCCATTATATATATATTTAATTAATAATTAATTCCACTTGTGCACTATTATAATGTAAGAACACGTAAAATGAAGGCTCATTCTTATTGGACAAAATGAAGCCAACAACACGCCTGCTGCTATTTTGCTATTGGAAAGAGCTCAACAAATCAGCGCAGAGAGATATATTTTGGGAAAGCAAAAACAACCAATACTATTAAGCCACGAAAGCAGCCACTAGTACTGCCTAGCTAACAGGAATATCACAAATTGACACTTATCCTTTGAGATCGAAATCAATTCTTTATCAAATTAATTTCAAAGCTTTGCTTTCTTCAGCTTAAGCATTTGTTTTTTTCTTTTTGCCAACTAATTTACAATTCGCCCTTTTTTTTTTCTTTTTGCCAACTAATTCACAAAAAAGAGCAAAAGGAAGTAAAAACAGAAAGGAAAAAAAATGGTTACAAAGCTCCAATGATCCTTGGCTTCTTGCTAAACTCTAATTCCAACAACTCCATCTCTCTCATTCTTTTCCCAACATTATTTATATTATTATTGCAAGAACCTCCGCCAATAGCAGCAGTCGCAGCGTCCACAACAGCCCCACCCCCGCTCCCAGGTATTTTGAAAATGTTGACCCCAAATAGCCGAACCATCTGAACCGGCTGAACCGGGTTCGACCCAACACCACTGCTATTATTATTATTCACATTCATCCTGGGCTTCCAATCAATGTAAAGCTGCTTGTCCTGTCCCGTCGACCTCTGGAAGCTCACAATGTCACCGGCTTTCAGGTTCTTCTCCTTCACGAACCGGCTCCACCCTTTGGTCAACACGTAACTTTGACTGCTGTTCCAGTACGAGTACCTGAATCTCCACACTTTTCCCCCGACGTCCTCAAAATTCAAAAGCACGCCTTTGCAAGCAGAACCGCCACTCGTGCTAGTGGTAGTGTGGTTGTTGAAGTTGTTTCCGCTTTGTAACGGAAAGTGCTTTTCAGCGTGCTGCTTTGGGATCACGAGACGGTTCAACTTCCCGACATCGCTTGGGGTCACCGCTTTCTCGAAAAGCTGCTCACGCGCCTTCGGGACCCGGTCGGACCCGAACGGGCCCAATGGTCCGTGGGCCCTGGCCCGCTTCCCGTTGGCGTCGAGGAAGCCGTAGTTGTTGCGCTTGCTCTGCTCCAGCTCGTCATTGTAAGTGTGCTTCCTCAACATGTCGACGATTTCGGACTTGGAATGAGTATTGAGGAAGGCGGCCTCGACGTCGTCGGTTTCGTCGTCGTCGGTGCCGGTGCCGGTGGGGGAGGGCTTGAAGTTGGTGACGGCATCGCGGCCGCGGAAGCGCTGGGCGGCGACGTCGTAAGCCTTGGCGGCCTCGTCCTCCTCGTTGAAGGTGCCGAGCCAGACGCGCTGGTGCTTCTCGTAAATCTGGGCGCCCCAGCGGCCGTTGGGCTGGGGGACGACGCCCTTGTATTTGGAGGAGGGGAGCTTGCGGGACTCAGCTTCGATGCCGCCGCCGACGCCGCCGCTGCTGATTTCGGAGTCGAGAATGACGCTGCTGGCTCCGCTGCCGAGGCGGCAGAGGCTGTTGGCGTGGGGTGATGACTTGGCAATTGGGGACATAGCGATAGTAGTAGGAAGAAGATGATTGTTGGGTGAAATGGATATGGAGTCGCTGGTTGTGCTTTCTTCTGTGCTGCTTAAGCTTATGCCATCCATTGTTTTTGTTGCCTGATTTAATTGTGTGTTTAACGAAGGAGAAAGCAAGAGGGAGATAAGAAGGTGGTTGATGTATGAATGATACAAGTGCAAGAGAGGAGAGGTGTGATGAATTGGGATTGTTTCAAGGTTGAGTATATATATAGGGGGGTGAAGTGAAGGAAGGGAGAGGGTGGGTTGGGATTTACTTATGTTGTATGTTTACTGTATGTATGGAGTCTATGTGTATAATTATACATATTAAATTTGAAGAAGAGATATGGGTATATGTGGGTATGGTGGGTCAACCCAAAGCCGAAGAGATTGGGATGGTAAAGAGGTAGGAAGGTTCATGTCTACATCCTTTTTTTTATCTTCATTTTCATTTCAACGCTGTAAGAGAAAAGAGAGAGAGAGAGAGAGAGAGAAATGAGAAACAATTGGCAACTGGGTGGGAACTAATAAATGAGAAAAACAAATTAATTAAATTTAAAAATAAAATAAATATGAAGTGGGGCCCTTGTAATGCATCTGTCTCTGTGTTGTATCTATACGCTATAGGTCTTTGTTTTTTAGCACATGCACTATTCGAGAAGGGTTTTCTCACACACGCAAATTACAATTAAAATGCTATAAAAATTCAAAAATAAAACTTCTGGTTTGTAAATCAATATCTTTTTTTATTGGACTATACCCCATTGAGTATGGTGGCACTAGTCTAATAGGAAAAGGGGTGATAGATAATATTATGGATGTGCGGGTTGTGGGCAGTGTATGTGAGGTGGGGTCCAGGGGAGGGGAGGGGGAAACAAGTTGATGAGGTTCACATGAGCATGGACCTTGTTTTAGTAATTAAGTTCATCCCCCCTGAATAAAGCTTTTGCTATGCCCCTCTCTCTCTCTCTCTCTCCCTCTCTGCTCACCCTTCCAGCATGGCCTCCCCTTCTATTACCATCCATCATCTTCATTTATTTAATAAATGAATCTTATCTGAAATGTGATAATCTAAAATGATTGTGCATAATTATCAATATCACATAAAGTTGGAGAGTGGTAGGATGTTTGGATATTTGTTGGGATTAAGAAGGTGTGTTGCTTTTATTGCTCCAATTAGAATTATAATTAGAATTAGAATTAGATAAACATTGAGACAAGGAGATGTTATGTTACTAGTTGTAGCTCCATTCCATTCCATTCCATTCCCACTAGGATGGGTTGTGGGGCTAAAGTTAAATGAGCCCTTGTGGGATTGGGATTTTTTGGATAGGCATTCACATCTCTGTCTCTCTCTCTCTCTCTCTCTCTCTCTCTCTCAATAGTGTACATAGCCAAAGCCAAAGGCTAGGCTCATCCAACAAGAAATTCCATCTCTCTCTCTCTGCCAGTGCCACCCCTAATAAGTCCTACCAGCTGGCTTGATTTGATTCGTCCTTACCCTACTTTCATGGTTTGTCTTATTAGCTAGGTTCAACCTTACCTTAGTATCCCCCATCCCCACAAAACACAAATATACATATATATACTTCCTTCCCCTTCCTTCCAATTCCATTATTTCCAACCAACATTGACATTTCTCCCTCCAACTCTCCAAGTGGCTAGGCTACCCTCCGTTCATGCACACACCATGCCTGCCTGTGATACCAGTATTACTCCTTTTAATGTGGACCCTTTGATTTGGAATGGGGATCAGAGACAGCCTAATCGGACGGCGCTGAACTCGTTCTCCAAATATTCAGTGGGCCCAACAATTACGTGTTTTCAATTTGTGGCAAATTATAGGTGACGGTGAGGGTGTTGAACATTTGATTTCAATTCAATCCAGATATATATTTTTTTTTTTCTAATATTATTTTTTTAAATGGGTTTTGTGTACGGACGAGTCCTCGTTCTTCTGAGGGCCCACATGCAAGTTGATCCTCAAAACCGAGCGCTGAAGACGGTGGGTCAGCCCCTTTTTTGGGCTTTGCCTCTGTGGAATTGTGGTTTCGGTTTTCTTACGTGGGTCCTGCGGCTTCTTTCAGATTCCTTTCTATTTTTTTTATTCTAATAATACGATGGATTTACGTGTAATTAACTTTGATTTTCAGAAAACAGCGGACGTACGGTATTATTGTATACTGTATACGGAACCCGAGTCTTTCTGTTATCGCCACTCCTTACAAGTGGGAACTCAACAAACAAAATATGAACATTAAATTATTTGGTGCGTCTGAGGTGCATCATCTCCAATAAACTCGCTTGTACCACATAATATACACTTGTGTAATTTAAATATACCAAAATAACAATAGGATTCGCAACGCATAAACGATTTGACAATTTTATATTTCTTCGCACGAAATCAGGCTAAGATTTCTGAATAAATGGTTGATTAATGCTAGTCTTTTTCATTCTGAAATTACATTGGTATGGTAGGGCCAAATATTATTGCAACATACAAGTGAAGTGGTCATATATTTATTTGCTCATATAGAAGACAGCATGTTGGTTTTGCATTTTCCATTAATTTGCTAAGCGGTTAGGTCATCCCTCATTAGCAAGATTGCCACATTGATTGGTTGTGTTGTGTATGTCACGTCAGTTCCTTTCAAATCCAAGAAATAAACATATGTATCAAAATATATATATCCAAAGGCCGACACAAAATAAACAAATAGTGAAAAACGTGCATCACATATCTTCACCTTATGTGATTTTTTTTTTCCCATAATTAAGTTAAGTTTAGTATATTATCTTCTTGGAATAATTTTTTGATCCCACCAACCAAGCTCTCTCCTCACTGGTCTGAATCTCTCTCTTCAAAACCTAATCTGATAACCCAAATGTTGTAAAAATATATATATATATTTAGATCTCTGCAAATTCCTCTCTTTAATCATCATCTATCTCTTAAGTAAGATAGGTGGGTAGCCTCCTCACCATGCCATGCCTAAGGCTATCCTTTTCACCTCTGGATAAACGTTGGATTAATATTTAATCCTTAATTAATCCAATCAAATAAGACATTGTTCAGGTGCTTAACCTTTTCCACCTGTACCTGAATAAACAAATTAAAAGCTGTTTAAAAGAATAAACACTTTCCTATCAACTACGTGGCATGCGCCCTTATCGCAAGTTAGCCAACATAATAAACGTTTTTTTAATTGGAAATTACTATATATAGTGGGGCTGGTGACGAGTAACCTTATTTCACATGTCACCAATCCCAATTTGGTTAGTGCATATATTGATGATATCCAAAGCAAAAGCATGCGTTTATCTGTTTCTTATAGAGTTTATATTAATATAATAATTAAGATAAACATTTTGTGATTATCTGTAGAGATTTACACAATTAACTTTTAGTGTCGGCTGATTCCAAGCCTCCTCTCTAGGGCATTTTCAATCGTTGATGATTGAGGATTACTATGCCAACACATTTCACGCCTCTACTTTATTTTTGTGAAGAAAATACAATATACGGGAATATTTTTGATTTGGATGCTTGAGGAGAATAAAATTGAAGGGAACTTTTTAAACGGCCAATAGAAACTAACATGGAATTAAATTATGACAAAGATAAGCTTATATAACACTTAGAAGCTTGACTTTTATTTTAATTTTCACACAGCTTTATGGTTTTTCAGGTAGTGATGAATCTAATGATCTCATCTTGTGCGGTTTTATAATGGAAAAAAAGTCGACATGCTGAGGGAATTTGGTCATGTTTGTTTTTGATTGGTTGGAAGAGGATAAAAAGGATTTGTATTGTGTCATCAGCTTTCTTTTGCAGTCATGGAAAGATTCATCGTACACTTCAAGTAAGTATACAAATAGAGATACATAGGACATTTAAGGCAACAACAAGTTACAATAATGCAATCAATATTCTAAATTAATTTAACGGGAAGATAATTTAAAACTGAATACAAAGAAACAAGTTCATTGTCCTAACCAACTTGCACGAAAGAATGGCATGACATGTCAATTTTTATCTCATCTTTTCAGTCACTAATGGTGGATTAGTTTCCTTAATTAACACATGACAATACAAAATAATGCAAAACTCATCAAGGGGACGTGTTTTAAGAGTGACATTATTAACAAGGCTTGCCAGTTGCCGGATGCAAGGTGGAGCTGGACCACTGGTCCCTAAAAACAGGTGAAATCCCCCTATTATTTTTGGCAATTTGCACCAGTTGTGCGAAAAGAAACGCGGAAGTAAATATTTTCTTCAATTAAAAAAATAAAAATAAAAATAAAAAGAAAAATGAAATGGTTATGGGACAAACATGGGGAAAATGATATTTCCAAATATTAATTTTCTTGGGGGGTGGAATTTTTCCGCCACGTCAAGAACACGCATTATTTGCTTCGCCATTTGTTGTTTGTTTCTTATCGTCCAACTTGTTTCTTTCCATATGTTGTCTGTTTCTGTTCACACGCAAGCAACACTCCACCAACAAATATAAAGAATATAATAATATAACTAGGGGCCAATTAAAATTAATTAATTACAAAATTAGAGAAAAAAGGAAATAAGTAAAACCGAGTGATATCATGAGATCCTTGACCGTTGCCCGATCCTCTACCGACGTGGACAATGACCCACCCCTTTCGGGTCAAAACCACGTGATCGTATATCACCACTCAAACCCTACTTCGTACTGAGACTGTGTAATTAAACAGTAATAGTGCTATCTCAATTAATTTACTCAGGTATTAATCCATTGAAAAGTTGTTAACTTAAATTTGAGACTACAGAGATGTTGTTTAGATCTCTTGACTAAAATAGTAAACTCGAGAATATGTTATTTGAAAACCATATGCGAGAATTATATGTTACTTAACGTAATTCCCGACTTAGTTAATTAGTCGTCTATTTTTTATAAACTAGTCTTAGGGTATTAAAATTCAAACTTTTAGGGTTGAGGGCTAACTGATAGTGAGATTAATTAGCTTTAAAACCGGAAGAGAGAGATTAAACAAAACAATGCAGGAAATCAACGCATAAGTCCAGCTAAACCCTAGTGAGAAAAACTTGAAGTTGGTCAAAGAAGCGCACATATATATATATTTATTTATTTATTTATGGAGTGTAGAAGATTCTATATATATATATATTTGTGTTGAAGTAAACGAAACGAAAATGATAAGTAGGCAGCCACATTGTTTGCAAGCGGAGGACCAATAATGAGCTTCACATTAGGTGAGCAACTAGGCTGTAAAGAAGTAGGGTCATATCATATGTAACTAGAAGTTGCTTTTGTTGACTCGAACAAAAGCAAATGCAATGCCACCATTGGTCCTTGGGTTTGGGCCCCACTGTCCCCTGTGTGCCACATAACTCATCCCATTGGCTGAGAGGCCATGCCTCACAAAGTCTTCCTTGGCAGTGTTCGACACCCACAGTTCACACCAGTCATATTGCTAGCTAGCTACACCTACAGAGTCTAGAGAGATAGTGTATTAAACACTGTAGAAAAGAAAAAAAATCACTGAGAATATTATTCGCTTCTAGATACACCTGCACTGTTTCAAGTCTTTTGACCCGTAAATTGAAGCACTGGGGTCTCACTGATTTTGACTTGATCAACTGAATTTGAATGATATTTTGGGCTTTTTAGCATTTTTTCTTTCTTTCTTCATGCTTTAATGATTGTCTGCTCTCAAATTCTCTCAATCACAGAATCATTTGCATTTCAATGTCGGCTTGTTTAATCCTACATATTTTTATTTTTGACGTGATGGATTCTTTATATTTCACATCCAAGTTTAAAAAAGTAAAATTGTGCGTGAATTATCATCAATCGTTAACGTGTATTACGTGCGTGACTTACTTATTTCTAACAAAACTCTCAAAGTTCCTGTTCATATTCCGACTAAACCCATTGTATTGCAAGAGGAAAAAGAAAAATGAAGAACATATTTTCTTAGGGTTAAATCAGCAACTAATGACATGCTTAAAATGGTTTAGATAGATAGATAGATAATTTCCCCAAATGCAAGTGGGTCCCAGTATATTATTAGTAATGGACTAATGTGAGGTTATTTATGTTGCCGACATGGCACGCATGAAGTTAAGGCTCATAGTCAAATTAAGCTTTGCCACTTGGGTTGGGGTTTGTGGTTGGCTACCAATTTCCATTTGCCAAAATATATGGGAACAAAACAAAACAAATAGCAAGCGATTGTGATTGTGTCTTGTTTTCTTCTGTTGCAGATAAGCATTTATCTTTCTCACTCAATGCAACGTCATCACCCCTCCATGCCACCACTACCTGCCAATATTTTTATTTTTATTTTTATAATTTATAAACACACACTTGCCAAAAAATTATGTGGGTGAGCTGAGACAGTAACCAAGTCATTAAGAAAATATAATACACCAATAACCAATGGAATACACAAAATACGAGGTCAAGCAAGCAAGTCAACAAGTCGTATGCCAAACTATTTTCTTAATTTCGTGGATTACTAGTGTAGCTTACATTAAGGGACACACTAATTACTGTTTTGAATTGAATGTTAAGAGCATCCACAATGATGCTCTCTATTTCTTAGAGTATCTTCAAGGGAGATGTCAAATACCAAACATCAAATTTAAATTTGATGGCTGATGTGGCAATTTGACATTCACACAGTTTTACATTCCACTCGATACGTCAAATAAATAATTATTGTAATAGTCAAATCATTTAAGATAAAGAAGAAAATAATAAATAAAAGTAATAGACATCTGTCTTTAAAAATAATAAAATATTCATTTGACATCTTGCTTTTGGGATGTCAAAAATAACATCTCAACCTTCAGCTTTCATTCCACATAAGCTTTGACATATAGGTTAGAGTGATGTGAGATGTTATTTCTAACTGTTAAATATCTATGTGGCACTTTTGACACATCGGTTGGAGATGCTCTTAGCTAAAATTTAGCTAAAAATATAAGAAATATATTTTAGGAGTTCTCTAAAAAATTTCAACTTCAACCATACTCCATAATTTGGAGAGTCATAAATGCTATAACTCTTTTTTGATTGGTCCATCTCTATTAAAAAATAAAATAAAAAATAGTTAGCATTAAATAAAGGTTTGAAATACTCATTAAATAAAGCAGCATTAAATTATATGGAGTCACTAGGAGTCTTTTCTCTCTCCTCAGATTTAGGAGCTCCTAGAGTACTTCCTATTTTAGGAGGTGTATAGGGAGGGTGGTTGGAGTTGTATTTTTACTATTCCTCCTTAAAATTTGTCTAAAGATGTGATTTAGAGAGCGCATTATGAATGCTCTAAGGTATGTGGTGAATTGGTCTAATCAGGTATTAAGTGGAGAGGCTAATGGGGTTAACCAGTGGAGTAAAACTCATCTTAAAATATCATGGAATTTTAAATAAATTTTTTATTTCTTTCATTCATTCATTGTAATTGGGAATTAATAATTAATAACTTTATTAATTCACAGTCAAAAGAGAATATCTGACTCTGATCCAGAAGGGTGGTTGGGGACGTGGAAATATCAAACTAAAAAACAAGAATAAAGAAAATAATAATGCAAAACCAAAAACCAATACCTGTCTTCAATTCAAGTCTTTAATTTAAGTTGTACGTCTGAAAGTCGTCGCCAAACCTTGTATTAAAAGAAGAGTCAACTCAAACTTGGGGGGGTTTCATTTGATGAATTTGTTTGTTTTGATGGCGTCCAAAGTCAAAAGCTCAACGCAGCTCTCTTCTTCTCTACTTTAATACTTATTCTTGGGAATTTGTAAACCATACATTTTGTTAGGTTGATGCCACCACCACCACCACCCCCACCACCCCATTTGATCATTTGTTTTCAATCAAACCTGACCTGACCCAGTTGGGCCACTTGATCTCTCTCCTTCCCTCCCAAGTCCGCTTGTTGACAAAGTCGTAGGCTGCAAATTGCAAACCCTACTAATTAAAGATAAGTGAAATGCAGGTAATTAACACATGGTTAGTGTTGCTTGATAGAGAAACTTGGGTCTTCTCACTTCCTTCTGATGAATTGAATTGGTCTAATCAGATATTAAGTGATCGGTGTTTGCTTAATCATCAAACTGATCGTGGCGCGATTAACCATAATCAAAGTAATTTGGTCTTAATAGTACTTGAATAGTTGTAGTAATTAATGATTGGAAATTAAGATTATTTGAAGACATGACATGATGATGCATGCATCATATTCTTTTGAACAAGCAGAGAAGCAGTCCAAGAAGCAAAGACCCACGACTCAAAGTCTGCTCAAACTGAAAGAGACAGGGCAACGTGGATTATTGTTGATAAGCATAATTTAAGGACTGCATGCAATGCTTAAGGAATTGTTTAATAGCAATTAATCCCATCCCAGCGAGTTGATAATCGTGATCAGCTCAATTAATTAACTTTAATTTTTGACAATTTGCAACAAGTCATGTGTGAAAGCATGAGAGATTCCTTTATTCAAACACTATAGGTCTCTGGATGAGAAGATATATATAATTTGTGTTGGTTGCTGGTTGCTGGTTTTGCTGCTATTCTAAATCAAAGTCTAAATAAATATCCATTCAAATTTGGAGCGTGACATGAAGAATGAGCTAGCTGTGGAGAGAGATGAGATCAGGTCATGTGGTCCTTGTTTTACAGCGGCCGGGTCTCTCTCTCTCTCTCTCTCTCTCTCTTCCAAACGTGCTGCCTAAGTTGCAATTTGCAAGTTTTAATTTGTGGTTTCTAGTGATGAAATGATGACTTTTGCAATATCTTTGTCAAAATGGCAGCTAATCTGATCTCACACTTTGGGAGGTCATCAGGTTAAGAATTCCAAGACTGGATACTTATTTTTTCAAATTTATAAATTATTATAATGATTAATTTTATTTATTTATAACTTTTTCTACCAAACTTGAAAGGTGAAAATTCTATCACGTTAAGCAACAATATTTTATAAAAAGATAATTTTATTCCCCTAATAAACAAAAATAGTTGAGCTCTTACTTTCTCATTATTAGGCACATATGAAAACCTTTTCCTCTCATGGGTAATTGGATTGGAACTGTACTAGAGGAAAATCCACCATAAGACTGCTAATTGCATATCTAGGTTGAAACTCAGTTCACAACCGCAGCTGATACTGATAATAACAAACGGTAGAAAAGCGTATCTTAGTGAAAGAACAAGCCTATATTTTCAGGTGTTTACCTCAATTATTCATCAGAAAGACACAAGCCTGCCAGTTGCTTAAATTAGAGTTATGAAAATCCACTACAAAAATTACACATTTCTGCAGGCAAATACTAATCTGGCTAAAGATCAGTCAGTGCATGTAGATTTAGTGTGGGAGGGGAAAATTAGACCAGAAATCAGTAACAATGAAACAGCGACCAGTTGGTAGAATTGTGAGTTCCATTTCATGCACTCTAACTATAAATTTACATCAATATATCCAACAAATGCTGAGACTTTGGTATAAGATGGCTGGGGCCTTATGCATTTCTTTCGTCAGTCAAAAATTTTGCTCCATCGTATTCTGCGGACTGGCTTCGGGAAGACTTCATGCCTGAAAAATTGTTCCAAAATGCCAAAAACATGAAGCCAACTCAGAAGCAGGGGTGCGCTGCTGTCCACATCATAATCGAGAACTTTGTACAAAACACAATCAAGTTCCTCATTGTATGTCTTCTTGGTAAGTGAGTGTTAAGTTTGCTACTTTCTTCTTCGAGAAAACACTTCGTTACTGTGGAGTAAAAGGTGTTAATGCCTTGGCATGTTGGCTCTCCATTTCAAGAAGCATCAAGGACTTCTGTCTCTGATATCTGTTTCTCTTAGCAGCAAGTGCTGGAAGAAAAGCCATTAATTTAAAAAAACAAAAGAAAGAACCTGTCAGTAGAAGAATTTCAAAAAATAAAAGCATTATATCCAACTATCTGATTAGCCAATAATGCCTAAGAATTCCCACATGAATCCAAAAGTATTTATGGCTGTTACAAGGAAACCAAATGCTAAAATAGAATTCCCACATGAATCCAAAAGTATTTCTGGCTGTTACAAGGAAACCAAATGCTAAAATAGTTTAAGAATGCAACTAAATAACAAAATCTAAATAAGATTGAACTTATTTCATACTCACACATTAAGTCTTGAGGTAGGCCAAAGTCATAATCATTCCTACGCCTTCGGATGCAGATTATGTATAACACCAACAGCAGCAGACAGAAACCAAAAACACATGATACGGCTATTGCAATTTTACCCTTCTTAGATAAGCCACCATTTTCCCAAAATAGAGGGCAATCAGGCAAAGATGGTACCCCACATAAACCTTTGTTACCGTAGAGACTGTCAAAGAAACACAGTAGCTCATTGGTTAAACATACAACAAAAAGCTACATTCAAGATTAATCTTAACCAACAAAAACAAAGAAAGTAAATGCAACGCATGTGATAAACATTAATAGGTTCTTGTGAACTGATGTAACTCCTAGACAAGGTTTGTTATACAACTCATCATCCCTCTTTCAAGAAAGAGGTCTTGGGTTCATCTCCTAATAGATTACAAATCTGAACCCCCAAGGCCAGCTAACCCAATGGCCAACAAAATAAAATAGAAAGGCCAAGCTATAGCCCATGTTTTGAAGTACAGCCACAGGAACCAAAAATGTTTTAATACCAATAGCAAAATTTGGACAGTATTCAGTGTCTTTTTCAAAGTAATACAGCAGGTTTCATATAAGTTTGCTGGTAAAACAATATATAAATACATATTACATTTTAAACCTTACCAAACCAACAAGCATGCATACAAGTATAGAGAGAACTTACAGCTTCATCAAAATTTGAAATCATGTCAAAAGGAGAAACTAATAATATAAAATTAAATTACGACATACTCAATAGATCCACCATGCACACCAATCGAATACAACTCCTCTGGTACTTGGCCTTCCAGTAAGTTATTATTCATTAGCCTGAGAACAGAGAATGTGCATTAACAATATAGAAATAAACACATGGAAAGCGTTGGGCTAATCCAGACAATGCTTCTTTCACATTGTTAGTTAATGGAAATTACCTACTTTATACATGAATGATAAAATATTAGCTTAAGTAAAAATTCCTATAAAACATCCGCAATAGACTAGACTAGTAAGAAAGTATTGAGACCTTTCCAAACTAATGCATTTGTCCCTCGCAGATTAACAAGAACTTACCGTGTGGAGTGTAGTGTGTTTTACTCAACAACATATATTTAACATACTTGGCTTGAGTGTTGGTAACATTTCAGTAGAAGAATGCCTATTGATTGCGAAAAGCACAATGGAACAAAGCTCCATTATCGCCAAATGATGGACACAAATATACAAGGAAACTACTTACACAAGCTGGAGATCTGAAGTGGCTAAACTCTGTGGTATAGACCCGGAAAATTGATTGTCTGACAAATCCCTACAAAATAGCAGTGTACTAAAAATAAATAACTCGGAAGCACATAAACGACTAGAAAAATAAAAGCAAACGTCAGAAAATGTTAACATACGAAATTAACAGGCGTGCTATCACTTTGCAAAACTTAAATATAACAGAGTTTCTGTGAGAAAGGAAAAGGAGGAACTTTTCCAGAAAAGAGTTCAGCAGAAGATTTCGCAGGTTTGTTTATCACACTGAAGCTACCATGAAGAAGGCTAATAATAAATATACACATCGAAACTGATATGACAACCAAAACAAATATTATAATCTTCAAACAGATGCAACTCCTAAGTGAATTGATGACAGAGAAATGTTATTTAGAAGAAGAGTAAGAAAGGGGCCAAGAAAAATGTTTTTGAAGAAAGGATTCCAAACTGCTTGGTAAACTTGTTTCATCAGTGAAGCAGAAGAAAAACAATCCACATTACCTCTTGAATTGTAAAATAGAAAAATAATGCATACGAACAATGAAATACAGTTTCAAGTCACACAGGGCAGGGATATAAGAAAACAATAAAAGTAAGATTATGCTCAACTGAATCAAAATAGATGCTCAGCCAGGAGATGCTCCCTTAAGGAACAGTTTTCAGTTACACAAGAACATCAAAATAGAATTTATCTTTCACAACAAAGATCAGTAAGTATTTCTACTGACATGGCAGCAAAATGAGTGGGACTTACAGCTTGTTGAGAGATTTTTGGCCTAGACCAGATGGTAAAGTGCCCCCCAAAGAATTAGAGCTTAAGTTCCTGTATATTTATATTAAAAAAACAAAAACTGTATAAGCTGAAGCTATAAAGGATATCCACCAAAAAGTAGTTTTGCAGTTGATACTTACAGGCTTGCCAAGTTTGACAAGAGACTAATCTGGTCACTGATAAACCCTTTCAAGCCTTGACTTCCAAGATCACTGAAACACGTGATATAATTACTTGAATGTGTAATGCATTGGCCAGTGATTTGCATCTGCAGGTTAAGGTTTGAAATTGAAAAGAAAACAAAGATTAAGAGAATATATTTCTTACATTCGAGATATGACGAGGGCAGTTTCATTCTTATTGAGATGGCATGTAACTCCCTCCCAAGCATCCCAATTCGTAGGAGCACAAGGATCACCATTCCACCCCATTCTATCAGGAATGCGAAGTGAATCCTTCAATGCTCTCATAGCAACCACTGCAAACCAATCATAATCCTTCAAGGCTTTCATCATTAATCAAACAATTAAATAATAAATTGGGATTTAATTATACCTTGTTCTGGAACCGTCGCAACATCAGCCGGAACCAGAGCATAGTTCTCAAGCCCACTGATCAACGCCGCACCCGCCACACTCTGAAGCTTCACGCTCAGCACCGTGCTGCTCAAATTCTTGACAGTGTAACTCCACGAATAAGCCGCGAAGTTCCCGACCTCCTTGAATATGTCAATTCGATTCACATTCTTGCCATTGATGAGTATATCGAACACTCTCTGCCCCGACTTGGTCACGCTCGAATCGATCTCTGCGAAATGGAACCACAACAAGTAATCGAGCTTCGCGTCCACCTGCAATTCGTACACCAGCACTCCTTTGCCGTCGACCAACGTCGCCGTCTGGTACAATTTCATCGGGAAATAGTTAGGGCTCTGGTCCGTGTTGGCGATGGTGTTTCTTGTGGACAGTGATCGGACCGTGGAATCGTCGTCGGTGGATCGGACGTCGTTGTCGTTTTGCCATGAGCGGCCGAAGAGATCGGTGTCGTTGCTGAAGCCGGGGCCGAACTGATCGGAGCCGCAGGTGAAGCGGCCGTAGTTGACGAGAATGTAGTTTTGGCCGATGGAAACGGCGTTGTAGGAGGCGGGGTCGACCCGGATGAGCTGGAGAGATCCGATGACGGGAGGGTCGGTGGCAATGCTGTAGAAGCAGACATCGGCCTCGGAGTCGGAGACGAATGCGAAGAGATCGGAGTAGGCGCCGGTGCGGGCGAGGTCCTCGGGCCAAGGGGAGCGCCAGGAAAAGACCACAGTGCCCTCGACGGAGACGTCGAAGGAGGGGGAGTGGGACTTGCCGTCGTAGTTGTCGTAGACGGTGAAGGTGCGGATGTAGTAGCGGCCGGAGGGCAAATTGGGGATGATGTAGCAATTCTTCTTGCCGGCGGAGAGGGGGAAGTAGCGGAGGGTCTTCTCCTGGGGGTGGCGGAACTGGAGGGGCTCGGAGACGACGGAGGTGGCGCCGCCGGTGAAGAAGCGGTCGGAGAGCCACGCGGTGTTGAATGGGTCGACGGAGTCGGTGGGGCCACCGCAGTCTATGTGGTAGGAGAGTCCTCCTGTGAAAGAAAGAAGAAGTAGAGTTAGTGACAGTTAGAGAGTTAGTTAAAGTAGTTGGTCAGAGATAGAGAAAGAAAGAATGCGCGTAATGGTTGTGGAGTGTGGAGGGTGGAGGTTGTTACCGTAGGGATAAGGTGAGGCAGAGGAGGAGGAGGAGATGAAGAGAGAGAGGGTGAGGAGGAAGAAGACGAGGCTCATTCTTTTCTTTTATTTTTTATTTTTTTATTTTTTCTGTGTTTTTGGAGGGAGTGGGATGAGTGTTTAGGACATGACTGATTGACACTGATGAAATTGGAGGTGAAAAAAAAAGAAAGAAGAAAAGGCGGAGATTGGAAGGCGAGATTAGCGGGGAAGACGAATGAATAATAGAATAGAAAGAAAGTGAATGCCGGTCCAGACTTGGACTTGGGGTCGAGTGAGTCGACTAATTTCAGTAGTGGTGGTTCGGTAATTATCGAATTAATTAAATAAATAGTACTGATTTGGGGAGTTAAATCAGGGATTGAGACTTATGCAAACTTACCACTTACTTTACAGATATAAGATATTTTTAATTAATTAAAGAAGATTTGTTTGTTATTTTGGGTGAACTACCAGACTTAAAATGGCCTTGCTGCTGATGCTGAGCAACTTGTCAAATGGTACATGTGTCTACTTTAAGTAGAGCACAGCAGGCCTCACGTGAGAGAGTAGTGGAGGATGATGATCCGGACTTGGGAAGCCGGAAACCGGAAATTCGGAAAGTGCAGAGTGTAGAAGGAGGAGGAGGTGGATGGCCGTGGCTCTCTACTCATCCGGTCCGGGTTCAGTCTTGCACTGAAACCGATGGAATGAGGTGGGACCCAACACAAACCAGACGATTGTTGAAAGCCCCAATATACATTTGACTACGTCTGCATCCTCCATTAAGATGTACAGTGGCTTTCTTTTTCTTAGTCTGGCATCTTCTGTTTTTCCGCGCGTTCCTCTTCCTACTACTTAGACGAAGTTTCCCTTGCAACTTGCAATAGCAATTAAAAGATGGGACAAAACTCACGTTGCTTCATTATATTTATTAATTAAAACGAAATTAATTAAAAGTTATAAATATTAATTTTGATTTGAAGGACAGTCACCCAACCCAACCGCCGCCCTCAGCTCTGCTACACAATCAACTGATATTAATATCCTTAATTATTCCACTAATTAACAGGCCTGTCGCTTCTAAACGAATCCACCGTGTTATATTAAAATAATTACTTGTGCCTTGTTTGCTAGTTGTTGTTGTTGCCTTGTATTCATGCATGCTTGGAGTTGTGTTGAACTCTCTGTGTATCCGTGACCTATGGTTTGTTGTTTTCTGCAATTAAAAACATATCTATTAGCTGTTAGGAAATAATTCTATCGTGCCCAAATATAGAGACAAATCACTGTTATGTCATCGACTTACCTCTTGTTTAATGTTCTTCATTTCAAAACATAGTAAAACGCCTCTGTAGTAAAGAATGTCTTTGTTTTCTTTTAAATAGTAATATTATAATTATGTAAGGTAAATCAATCATCGATATTGTGTAATTTTAAGGTTTTCTTTCAAATATTATTTATACAAAAAATCGGATAAATCGGACATTGTTTGGTCATGTAACTATCCCACATTCTCATTTAGTGTTATGTAATGAAGTGCATTTTCTTTTGCACATTATAGATTTTCAAATAACTTTTTATTCATATGATTTTTGGCATGAATAACTCTTAATGAATAGCAAACATGGACTTAGTCAAGTTTACTATAGCGAATATGTTATTCAATCTGCATCCGAATTTGAATCCTCCTCCTTATAGTTTAGAGTATATTAAAGTAAAATATCGTTTGTATTTAAAGTATATATATTTTGTGAGGGAATTTTTGAAAAGTGAGGATTGCCTCCCCAACCTTATTCTAGATTTGTCGCATTCCATGAGTTCCATCTTTTACGTGACAATTCCGCTCTCAAATTGTCCGTATTGTACATACCTTTAGCTATATGCAATGATTCTGTGTTGTGCTTTTGTGTGGCTACTTGTATATCCCACCAAACCAAACTAAGTGGGCTGAGGGGCAGGTTTAAAACTGAGTGGGCTGTCAGTCTGACTTTAGGTAGTGTGGGTGGGTGGGTTGAGTATTTCATTTTGAGATGACTTATGATTATTAGGTCCGATTGGTTCATGAAAAAGAAGGTTTGAGGATAGAAAATTAATTGTTTTTTTATGTTTGGTAAGTTCAAATATGATAAATTATTGTCTTGTACATGGGAAAGTAAGAAGAAAGTGAAGCCATTCTCCCCCTACGGGTTTTATTTTCCTTCTCATGAGAAAGTTTAGGAAAATAAGTCAACATTAAATACGCATTTTTCATGATCACATTGTCTCTCTTAACAATTTAGAATTACAATATAGCATTAAATGTATTTTTAATTTTTTTTTATTTCATATGAGTATAATTGAAAATTTTAAACAAACTTTGTTTTATATTCCTAAACAAACCAAACATGAGAAAGAAATCTTTATTTCCCATCCTATGGAAAATTATATGGAAAGTGATTCCCCTTCAAATCTGTTTCGTGAACCAAACAGAGTCTTAAGGTATCAAATGAAACCATCAAATTCTTGCCTTTTGGATTGTGTTATGAGTGGCACAATAATACAACAGGACATGTCAATTAAGAATTTAAGATACAAAACAAATACCACAAATATAAAAGCATTTCTTAAAACAACAACTGTCCCCATTTAACATGTTAAATCACGTCCCCATTAACATTATTTAATTAGACATGACTCTGCTTAAAATGACATCATGATAATACCTTTAACTTCGACTTGTTATGTGTGTTATATATAGCCAAGGCTTTCTAGTGGCACCAATCAGTAATGAATGACTTTTATAAATCAAAATTTCATGTAACACAAATACACAAACAGAACCATGGTGAGGTTATATATGATAGTGACATTTTCATGACAAAATATCATTAATTTATAAAGAGCACAGTCAAACGAATTGTAATTAATCCATGCCCTAATTAAGTGGCGAATTTAGCTACAAATGCGTTTCCTAACATGCGAATTTGTATGGTAACAAAAGTGCTACATATGGCATAATAAATCAGGATTGGGGCAAATGAGATTCATCACATTCATATGGCAAATGATGTGACGCGACAAAAAATGGATCACTAATTTACGAGGTAGATAGTTATTGCCAATGTCCGTGGTGGTTGAGAGCTTGAGAATGAGAAGAATGCTCTATGAAATTCTAATATTTATTTTGTATGATGTAGAATACAACAGGGGTGAGGTGGGTGGGGAGGTAATGCCAATGGCCATTTGAATAATTAACACAACTACACAATTAATCAAACGTAAGCGAAACCACCGATGATGTGCATTCTAGGTCCAGCTGCCAACCCAGGTGGAATGGAATAATGGATCTTATTCCAAGTGGCAGGTGGAGCAGCACAACACAGAACCCTCTTAATCGCTCATCTCCAGCTGTATATCATCCAGATCAAGATGGCAAAGCTAGTCTAGAGTTGCTTCTATCTATTTGGTCCCTCTTTTAATTTTATATATATACAAAAATAGTCTTAAATTATGTTTTAAATTAATTTAACATACGAGAAGAGAAATTCAATACAAGAGGTTAACTCGCTGTCCTAATCTCCTGGCCTGGCCAAACCGTCAACTCTGTACAGTCTTCAGTTTATAATGCAATGCCATGGCTTGATGGCTTTCCCATTTCTCAAAATTATGCAACGGTCGAAATCAAATTCAAGTAAAATAGTAGCAGTAGAGTGCTTCTTTAGCCTTTATTTCCATCCTTAATCTAATGTCGACATCCAAAAGCATTAAATTACATTTTACCATCCATCCATCGCTCCCCATAAAATAGATACAGATGCATTCACGTGTAATGTACTGGGATTTGCTTTGCACATTCATTCCCTTAATTATATTTTACCATCCATCCATCGCTCCCCACAAAATAGATACAGCAAAAAAAAATCTTATCTTATTTGCTGCTAATTTCAGGCCACATTCCCTAACTTCAACTCTTAAACAACGCCGCTGCCGCGTCTTATTACTCTAATCCTATATTAACCCATCCCAGTAATTCATTTGAACGAGACGACATGACGTCCACCGTACGCCTCCCATCGTACGGCCCATTTGATGCCCACCGTGAAAGCTAACCATCCACCACAAGATGGCCACACCTTTGTCCCCAACACAAGTTCACAACTAACAAAACGACGCGTCTTTCCAGCCTGGCTTTTGCCTTTGCGCCACTCCCTCCCTCTCTCCTCATTCTATTCTCTGGAAAGAAATGAATGCAAAATCAAAGAAAGTATCATCTCTCTCCTCTCTCAGACTCCATTTCCAGGGCCCCACAAAATACCAAAATTACCCTCTCACTAAAACATCCCTTCTCTCCCCTCCAAGCCACACTACATTCCACACTTCATACTCTAATATCTAATTCCCCTTCTCCCTCAAATTCCCTACACCACCAGACCATGCCACCGGACCATGGTCGCCTCTATTTCCTCCTCATCGTCCTCATCCTCACCGTGACCGTAAAATTTCTGGCGACATCCACCGCCGTTGAGCTCCCAAAGTTTCGAGAAGCACCTGCATTTCGGAATGGACGAGGATGTCCCCGGACCGCGTGGTCCTCACTGGACCAGCACTCCCACTACAATCCCTCCATCATCCACATCGCCATGACCTTGGACACCACCTACCTCCGCGGCTCCATCGCCGGCGTCTTCTCCGTCCTCCAGCACGCCACGTGCCCCGAGAACATCGTCTTCCACTTCATCGCCGCCTCGCACCACAATCGCCGATCCTCCGACCTCCTCCGCCACATCATCACCTCCACCTTCCCCTACCTCACCTTCCACCTCTATCACTTCGACTCCAACCTGGTGAAGGGCAAGATCTCCTACTCCGTACGGCGCGCCCTCGACCAGCCCCTGAACTACGCGCGAATCTACCTCGCCGATCTTTTACCGTCGGGCGTCCGCCGCATCATCTACTTCGACTCCGATTTGATCGTCGTCGATGACGTGGCGAAGCTGTGGAGCATAAACCTAGGGAGGCGCGTGCTCGGCGCACCGGAGTATTGCCACGCCAACTTCACCAACTACTTTACCCCGAAATTCTGGTCAAACGCGGCATTCGCGGCGTCGTTTAAGGGTCGGAGGGCGTGCTATTTCAACACGGGGGTGATGGTGATCGATCTGTGGAAATGGAGGGAGGGAAAGTACACGGAGAAGCTGGAGCACTGGATGAGGGTGCAGAAACGGTGTCGTATATACGAGCTGGGGTCTCTGCCTCCGTTTCTGTTGGTTTTCGCGGGTGACGTGGAGGGAGTGGAGCACAGGTGGAACCAGCACGGGCTTGGCGGTGACAACCTGGAGGGGCTGTGTAGGGACCTCCACCCTGGACCCGTGAGCCTGCTGCATTGGAGCGGGAAGGGGAAGCCGTGGTTGAGACTGGACTCGAAGCGGCCGTGTCCGTTGGATAGCTTGTGGGCCCCCTATGATCTGTACCGTCATTCGTCGTTGTTCTCTGATAGCTGAAGCCGCATCGTGATTCACGGAGGCTTGCGCTATGTCCGACGATCTCTGCTCAGCTGGCACGCGACGGGGGCGGTGGGGATAAATCCGACAATATGAATGTCCATTTTGTCTGGGCGGGTTTAAGGCATTAGGATTTACAGCAGTTAAAGGGGAATTTTACTGGAAATGGCGGGGGTTAGTGTTAGTGGACACGTGTTGAAGAAAAAGGAATGGATTTTGACGAGGAAGGTGATAAATTGTCGGTGCGTGGTAAGAATTTGAGATATCTACGAAGGGTCTGGTAATTAGAGTAGGTGAAGTGGAATGGCCCAATGGCCCAATGGGTGGGTATTTGGTGAAGATTCGGAAATGAAAGATGCGCATTCTTTTTTGTTTTTTTCGTTCTTTTGTATGTGTAAAAGACTAAAAATAGATATTGTAGGTAGTGGAAGTGGAATGTATCAAAGGTGTTTACTACTTTTCACTTTTCGAGTACAATCATTGAAAAAGAAAAAAGAAAAAGTTTCTTCCCAACCTACCACTTGTTTATTGAGATATTCAATGATATATTCATTCTTAGCACTAATATTATAGATAAATTATACACCATTGAATTTCTATAAACAAATCCAATAAAAACTCAAAAAATGAATTTCTATAAACAAATCCAATAAAAACTCAAAAAATGACAGTTGGCCTTATTAAATTTAATATTTATTATTAAATTACTTTGATGCCCTATTTAGTGTTTTGGGTATTTCTATGAGATTTTAGGGTTGGGTTTGTTTTAAGAAATTAATGGTAGTTTTGTAATTTAAAAAAAAGTTAAAAGCCTCTTTGTTCTGTTCTAAATGGGCTTTGGATGTGTTTTTAAAATCCATTTCATATGAGGTATTTTTATAAATTAAGCTTCTATATTAGGTATAATAATGAATCTCCATTGTTTCTTTTACTCTAAATACGGGGGCGTTATGGTTGTTAGGAATTTGTTAGAATAATGTTTGGTTTTGCAAATTAAAATTGGGTGATACATACTTACTTGTGATGAAGAGGACTTATTATAAAAATAAGCAAACAACTCCTGTGTACGGAAGGCATATATCGTTCATGAGTTTCTAGTTTTGAATGGGATGTTGTGATGCCTCGGACTTGAAAACAGTGAAAAGCAATGATTCGATTTTTGAATAAAGAAAAGAAATTATTATGTAAAATATAGACTCTCATTAATTTGAGGTTGAGGAAGTTGCTATGAAGAAAGACTTCTATGAAACGGGAATATCACTATTTTGATATTCCCGATTAATAACGCTTACATAAGTGATATAACATTATTGATCAAAAATAGCAAAATGCAACTAAATATTTCTCGCTGCGACGGCATAATGGCAGCAACCAACCATGGTGCAGTGCAGTGCAGTAAAAATTGAGCCACCGACAGCTGGAGTGGATGATAAATGCACTCACCTCCCGAGCTTCAACCAAGCCCATTGTCTAAAAGGCTTCTGACTCTGAACAGGCAAATGAAATGAGCCAGACTTTTTCTATGGGGGGCAAGTTCAAGTTGTGCCTTACTGGGTTCCATTGCAAAAGACAGTTCAAACATGGGTTTTGCTACTTTCCCCAAGCCCAATTAGTCTTGTCTTTAGTATTTTTCCATACACGATGCGCGTCAAAATATCCACAACTCCTTCTTTCAAACAGATGATTTGTGCAGCATGAATGTCCCACTCCAACTCTGTGCATGTGTTGACGTGTCAATCTCTCATTTTTTGGTGAATTATTAGCCATCAATCCCATTGAGCCATTTCCCTCCACAAAATAACGGTCACTAGGAAAATAAGAGAAAAAAAGAAAACACCTTCGAAAGAGATAGAATCTCAGATTGAAAGACATTTTTGAAGTAAGCCAGCGAATATAGGTATCTGGATTTTCACCCATACAAGTGCTGAAAGCCTCTCTGTCTCTCTCTCTGTATGTACAGCCATGGCTGCTACTGTTGCAGCCGGGGGAGTTAGTATAGGAGTGGCCAAGCTCCACCCTCACAAATCGAAACCCACATCATTTCTGGGCAAGAAGCTTAGAATTAATAAACCCAGTTTCGAACCACATCCCAGTTCAAGATCAATAACTGTCTCCAACCCGAAAACGTTGCTGGTTTTCGCCTCTGGCGGCGGCGAGTTGATCCATGCGGTTCAGGACCTCTTTTTGGGCGTGGGAGTGGGGCTTCCGTGTACAGTCATGGAGTGCGGTGATATCATATACAGAAGCACTCTTCCAAAGTCTAATGGCTTAACACTCACAGCCCCTGGTGCTATTTTGGCTCTGAGTGCCCTATCTTATCTATGGGCCACTCCTGGTGTGGCTCCTGGGTTCTTTGACATGTTTGTGCTTGCTTTTATTGAGAGGCTTTTTAGACCCACTTACAGGAAGGTTGATTTTTGGCTGATTTTTGGTCTGATTTTGGATTTTATTTGGGAATCTCAAGTTTGTTTTGTGGGACAGGATGATTTTGTTTTGGGGAAAAAGTTGGGTGAAGGAGCTTTTGGAGTGGTTTACAAAGGTTCATTGGCTAATAAGAAGTCTTCTTCCAAGGTATCAAGTACTTAATTGAATTTCTTTACATAAATTTTTTATTTTATTTGGTCTTGTGAACGAATTCAATTTTGAACATATCAAATGGATTGAGTTCAAAAATTGAGTTATATGATTTCAACAAGTATTTCTTAATTTGCCTTTGCAGTCATTACTTCAATTTTGATTTGTGTCAAAAGTCTGGGTTTCGATAAGGAGCTCACTTGTATTGTCAAATGGGCAGTGTCTTCTCACATTGGAAGAAAGAAAAGAAAAGAAGAGTATGAGAATATGATATGCTAATATGTTATGTTTTTTGGTTGTCACTAGAAAGAAGGTGACTTTGTGTTGAAGAAGGCCACTGAATATGGTGCTGTGGAGATTTGGATGAATGAACGTGTGCGAAGGGCGTGTGCAAATAGTTGTGCTGCTTTTAAGTACGGCTTTCTCGAGGTGTTACTCTATAATGCCTACTAGTACCATATGATTTTAAGGGTATCATTATCTCTAAAGATTGAAAAAGAATTCTTTGATAGCTCATTCCATTGTACATTCTAGTTCTATCCCCATTATAAGAATTAATACCATGAATATTGTTGCAGACTTCTTCAAAGAAAGGAGCTGAATATTGGCTTATATGGCAGTTTGAAGGGGAAGCCACACTGTATGATTTGATGCAAAGTAAAGACTTTCCCTATAATGTTGGTACTTTCTCTCATCAGCCTTTTTGGTTGCCCTATAAATTGCCAGAATTAACCATTTTTGGTGTGAAACTGATGATTTCTTTGTCATAATTAACATCCTAGCAGGCAAAGTTCGAGAAATACTTATTTGATTATTCAGTTGAAACTGGGATTGCACCACTATTTTCAGTCTAGTTATTAATTATGACCAAAATTTAGATGTTTTTTACCAACAGTATGCTACAAGCTTCCATGGTTCTTCCATCATCTATGTTTAAACTGATCTTCGATTCAAAAGGAAAATTTTGGAAAAATTAATGATAATGGGACTTGGCATGTTAATTGCTGGTTACATGTTGCTTCTTATTTTTACAGTAAATTTTGGTTTAATTCCATTCTACAACTGTTAACTTCACTGATGGTCACATAAAATTCAGGTAGAAACCATGATTCTTGGAAAGGTCCAGGACTTGCCAAAGGGTTTGGAAAGGGAAAATAGGATCATTCAAACAATTATGAGACAACTGTTATTTGCGTTAGATGGTCTTCACTCAACAGGGATTGTACATAGGGATATAAAACCACAGAATGTTATTTTCTCCGAAGGTAATAATACTTAATAGCATGCTGTATTTGAGTCAATGGAGAAACTGGAAAAGTTCAATTATTCTCAGAGTTTAAACATTTCCTATTGCTATTTTAACAATGAGCAGGCTCTCGAACATTCAAGATCATTGATCTTGGAGCTGCAGCAGATTTGCGAGTTGGCATCAACTATATTCCAAAGGAGTTTCTTTTGGATCCAAGGTAAACCTCTACTTGAAGAAGACAATGAATGATGAGTTTCAGTTTCTACTTTACATCTATGGACAAAAGAACTAAATTTTCAGCACTAATATAGTTAATGTCGTCTGGAGGGATACCTTAAAATAGTATCAGTTTCGTCAGGCTAATGCACCTTGAAATGATCCTAAGTACTGATAAAACAGAAACACCCACAGTTTAATTTGATTTGCAAAAAATTATCCAGATGGAGGCCAGGGCAAAAAATATTTTAAAAAAGTTTCAGCAAAAAGCGTGCAGTTTGTGAAGTTTGTAATACATGAGACTTGTCTGTTAATCGAATATATGATATTTGATTTCTGAATGAATGCTAGCTGAATCATCAGTCTTAAAAGTGTATCCTTCTGATTTACATATTTTTAGTAATACCTAGGTTCAGTTTTCTTATAGCATCTCACTCAAATTGATGTAGTGTTCTCTTATGAGAAGGCTTTCATGGTGTCTTTGGATCCTTCCCTTTTCAGATATGCTGCACCAGAGCAATACATCATGAGCACACAAACGCCATCCGCTCCCTCTGCTCCAGTGGCAACAGCACTTTCCCCAGTTCTATGGCAGGTGGAATATTAACTGTGAATTTGGTTTTTATTATAACTAGCTTACTTTCTCAGGCAGCTGACTGCTTTAATGGTTTTTGATTATATGGTCTTAAACAGATGAATTTGCCTGATAGATTTGATATCTACAGTGCCGGGCTCATATTCCTACAAATGGTGAGTGACAAAAATTGCTAGGTAGCTATAGTTGTTATACTAACTAATTGACTGATACTCATTCAACTTCTCATTATCACACACGTTCAGTTTCATGTTTATAAATATGGGGGGTTTGAAGGGTTCATACTGCTAGTCTTCTTCCTGTAGGCATTCCCAGGATTACGGAGTGACAACAGCCTAATACAATTCAACCGTCAACTAAAAAGGT